GACATGTAATGGCACCACAGATAACAGCGCATTGTGTGTGTGACTATCTCTAAGGATGGTCCATTAATGCAGACTAGAAAAGCAAGGCAGTTCCTAGTCCTGATTTAAAGTGTTGGTGCTAACTTTTGAAGACCTATGTGATTTTGAACCAGGGTACCTGAAAGAGTGTCTATTCCTTTGCGTGCCAGCTTTTAATGTGTAGCTCTTGGTTTGTTTTTGTTGTTGTCTATATTGCTGTACATAAATATAAAATAAAGGGTACATAAAGTATCTTTATATTATATTTGTTTAGTGGAAAGCTTATATTTAATCACAAATCTGAGTCTGGCACAGAAGCAGGATTTAAAGTAAATTGAAGATGTGAAAGTCTTGTTAATGGCTATTTCTTGGCTTATGTTGCAGTGCGCACACCATATCCTTGAGCTGTAGCTCAACCAAGATACTTAGTTATGAAATAACATAGGGAGCAGTGCAGATGACTGCCAGGGATGCATTCCTGGGGCTTCCCTGAATCTGCTCACTAGCCACCCTCTTCTGGCTTGCAAACTAATGAGCAGAAGTGCTATAGCCACTGCTTCGAAGGCAGAAACATGTGGCTGGCATCAGGATCCCTTGAGGCAGGAGAGCCAGAAGAATGTATGGCTGGCAGCTAGGGCTTGCTACTATCTCCCTGTTGTCCTGTGATACTTTATAGATAAGGAACTTCAACATCTGTTTATATAGTCCCTAAACCAAACCCCAGAAGAGACAGGGCACATGTAAATTAAAATGCCTTTGATACTTTTCTGAAATTACTCTGATTTACTATAGTTGAATTCTTTTTACAGAGGATGATACCTTGAGTGAGTCGTCTGCAGATAGTTTGCTCTGGAGTGATGATGACTGCAGTCGGGATATTGATGTAACAACAAATCCTGATGAGGATCTTGAAGATGATGATGATAGTGGCTTTGAGATTGTTCGATGCATTTGTGAAGTGGAAGAAGAAAATGATTTTATGATTCAGGTACATCATGGTGGATTGTAGATGTGTAATGAGGTAAATCTGAGGTGGATACCTGTAGTGAGGAGCAGCTTTTTACATTATCCTATACCAATGTCCCTTCAGCTGAAACCAACTGATAATGAGTCTTAGAAGTTAACAGATCTACTATCAATTTACATTTCGAGGCTTTTCAGTCAATATCCATGCTTGCAGGAACATTGGGATATCAGAGGGATAGTTTGTGGTAATAACACTGCTCCAGGTGATGTGGGCTTTTTCAAGGGAGAGGGGAAGGGGTATTTTTTGTCTTTTGGGGAAAAAAATGTGTTGTTGCAGTTTTCCCAATTTCCAAGTAAATGGAAACAGTCAGTTACTCCAAATATATTGTGAGTCACCTCAAGATACTCGGCCTTTAGGATGACTGTTTCTGTATATTTTGAAAATATGTGTACAATTATAGATTTTGTCAAGGAAACTTCAGTAATAAATTATTACAGTAGTGGGTTGTTATAGGCATCCTCAGAGGATGTCTGCCATAGATGCAGGCAAAACGTCAGGAGAGAATGCTTCTACAACATGGCCATATAGCCCAAAAAACCTACAACTTAGCAATTCTAGCCATGAAGGCCTTCAACAATACATTATTACAGTAGTACTGTGAAATTTAAATATTATGTGGAAGTATTTTCTGATGAAAGATATATTGGAGGGTACTAATAACTTATTTAAATAAGTGTTTTGTCCATTCCTTTGTTTACTATTTTCTTTAAAATCAAGTTATAGAAAGTGCATTTTTTATTTAAAAAACTGGTATTTTAAAGCTTTTTACCCTTAAATCTTCTGCATTTCATGTTTATGTTTTGAAATTAAGATAATAATATATTAAAATCAGTTCTAACTATTTTAGATTGATAGCCATCTTCTAGGTTTTCCCTCTCTGACTAGTCTTGTAGATTGTAAAAATCATTACAGAACTTCAGTCCATCTAGCACCTTTTTCACATGGAGGCAGTGAATCAGTCAAACTAGTAGAAAGATCTCCTGTAATTCATTTGTGTTTATATTCGCCTTTACAGTTATATCAGTTCTGATTGTGGTATCATTTAAACTTTTTATTTTTCAGTTTTGAAAGGTGTTACTTTAGGAGCATAGTTAATTATTCCAAAGGTTGAGCATAACAGCCCTGGATTGTCTTCTCCAATGTAAATTTTGATCTGAGGTGGAAAAGAAATGGATTCTGCAACCCAAGCTTACTCAGCTAATTGTTCTAACTGTAGAAATAGTAGGATAGGGCAGAGTTTCTTAAACTTTTCCATTTGTGACCCCTTTTGGTTTCATAAATTTTTATGTGACACTGGGTATATAAGTATGTAAAATAGATATAAAATCAAACATTTGCTGGCAACAAATCAGCATTTTCAAGGTTTGCTAAACAGACTGATTTTCCTTTTTATGAAGTACAGCTGAAGTATCTACCGCAGAGCCTACAATAAACACTGCAGAACAAATTTATGTAGATGTTTAAAAACAGTCACTAGGTGATGTTCAGAAAACTTTTAGTGTTACCAATTTTTTTTGCAACCCCAACATTAAGCTAAGGGGACCCCACTTGGGGTCAGAACCAACAGTTTAATAAGCAGTAGGATGGGGGATAGTCTGTTATACTTAGGATGCAGGTAGAATCCCAGTCATGAGCATGGCTAAATTTAGATTTCCTGAACTCACATAGTTCTGTATTTCCCCAGTGTACCTAGCTACAATGTAAACTATCCTACTGCTTCCACAGCAGCGACATAGATAATAAAATGGTAGAAATAGGTGGATGGAGGACAGGTGCTTTTAGGTCTCCTCAAAGTTATATCAGTAATATTTAGCCTTGTAATATCCTTAAAATATCATCATGCACATGACAAGATTGGACTTGGGCTCAAACTGTTCAATAGTAGAATACATGTGTATCTCATTGATCTAATTTTGTGTTACAATAGTGTGAAGAATGTCTCTGTTGGCAGCATGGAGTTTGTATGGGTTTATTAGAAGAGAATGTACCTGAGAAATATACCTGCTATATTTGTCAAGATCCTCCAGGTACAAAGATTTCTAAAGTTGCAGAATCTTCAAATAGTATGTAGTAATTATATTATTTTATGTCTTTCAAAAAATTACTTAATTTTGATTGGCATTCTGTTGAGTGTTTATGTGTTTGTAAACCAGACTTGCACTCTTGTAATTTTGGGTATTCACATTATGGTCATTAACCACTGAATGTGACCCCCCAAAACTACCTTTTCCGCCAGGCATTACTCCGACCCAAGGTTTCCAAAGTACTGCTGATTGGGGTGCTGGGGAATGACATATTCTCCTGGTTTCACAGCCTAAGGGATCCTCTCCAGCACCCAGTTCTCAGTGTACTCTGTAACTGGGGAAGCACTACAGATGTCATTTCCCAGCACACCACTTTGGAGTGCCTCAGAAACTTCTGCTTGACTGAAAAGGTAGGTTTATGAGAGTTACATTGTCAGGTGTAGCTACATCACAGTTATATCTGACAATGCGAGATCTCGTCCTTTGTTTTAATTGGTAGCTTGTAAATGTGTTACATCTAGCATGATGCATGGAATTTTGTTTGAGTTTCTTTTGTCATTCACAAGCTCCAGATGAAACATATTTTATATAAATTGAATTTAGTAGGATATCATTTTATGCTGGATGGAGCTACAGAGAATATATTGATGGGTTTAACCCTGAACTTGAAAGCTCACGTTTCAGCAATAACCGGAAATGCAATAGCCTACTGTCAGCTGTGCCCATTTTTCAAGTTGTCAATTCTGGCCATAGTGTTACATGACATAGTTACTTCCTGGTTGGATTACTGTAACTTACTCTACATGGGGCTGCCTTTGAGAAATGTTTGGAAAACAGGTGGTCCAAAAATCTACCACCAGATTATTATAGAATTATGGAATCATAGACTTGAAAGTGATCTTGTAGGCCATCCAGTACAACCCCCTGCTAAGAAACAGGAAAATCACATTCAAAGCACCCCTGACACATGGCCATCCAGCCTCTGTTTAAAAGCCTCCAAAGAAGGAGCCTCCACTGCTGAACAGCTCTCACAGTCTTCCTAATGTTCAGGTGGAATCTTCTTTCCTTTAACTTGAAGCCATTGCTCCGCATCCTAGTCTCCAGGGCCACAGAAAACAAGATTGCTCCCTCCCTCCCTATGACTACCCCTCACATAGCCTTCACTTCTTCAGGCTAAACATGCACAGCTCTTTAAGCCACTCTTCATAGGGCTTATTTTCCAGACCCTTGATAATTTTAGTCTCCCTCCTCTGGACACATTCCAGCTTGTCAACATCTCTCTTCAATTAACTGGGGCTAGTTGCAGGGACCACACAGCTCCCTTGTTGCGACTTCTCCACTAACTGCCAGTTCCAAGTACAATTCAAAGAGCTGGCTTTGATCTATAAAACCTTTTACTGTTCAAGTCCAGGATATTTGAAGGACTATACTCTCCATTACAAACCTGCCTGTGAGATCTGCTGGAGAGGCCTTTCTGTCCCACAGCCTGGTAGAAACACTTCTCAATGGCTGTCTCTAGGCTCTGGAGCTCCCTTCCCAATAATATTTAACTCTGTACCCTCCCCACTCTTTTTCAGTAATCAGATGGAAATCTTTCTGTTTCAACAGGCCTGATTGTACAGGGCCCATCCCACCTCAAGACTCAGCTGTATTTTCTATTTGTTACTTAGGTTATGCTTTTAAAAATAGGGTTTTTTTTTGTTTTTAACTGTCTTCAGAAACATTTTTAATAGTTTAGTCATTTCTCGATGCTTGTGTTTAGTGATTTTAACTACATTAAAAATCCATTGTGATTCATTTAGTCTGTTGAACTGGGGAAAAGGTAGATATAACAACAACAGCAAGAACAATGAGAATAGGCTGCATTGTGGGTACATTTTGCTGATTATGTGCTCAATGGCTTATGAAATATTAAACCGACAGTCTTTTAATGCATGTATATTGTGTCAGATTACTTTCCAAATTTTGGATAGGAAAGTAGCAGTTCATAGTTCAAAATTCTGTTCCTGTAGCAGATTATGATTTTAATAATTGTGCAGGCCACTTCTGACTTAGATTGAAAGTAGACATTACAAAACTTGGATTATATTACTTGGAATTAGATAAAAGACTTGTCTATTCATTGTTTCTTGAAATCTTAAAGGACTTGAATAGTATTGAACTCCATTCGTCTGTGACATTTGGGTAAATGTTTTTTTACCGCACAGCAGGTTTCTCATTCATTGGAGATCTCTTATTAAAGTTGAGTTCTGCAGTCAAAATTGTCATTATTTTTTTAAGCAAGATGGAGTAGAGAATTAAGATAATAGTATGTTTGTATATTTATTTGTATATGTCATGTATGCCTTTGCTTCTGCTGCTTTAGGTAAGCGATCCAGCTTGAAGTACTGGTATGAAAAGGACTGGTTGTGCAGCGGTCACATGCATGGCTTAGCATTTTTGGGAGAAAACTATTCCCACCAGAATGCTAAGAAAATAGTAGCTACACACCAACTTCTTGGCGATGTGCAAAAAGTGATAGAAGTACTACATGGCCTTCAACTGAAAATGAGCATTTTGCAGTAAGCAGTGTTTTTTTTAATTCTTTTTTATTATAGTGGTATTTTGCAGAGTCAAGAGTGGTTGTTATTTGCTAAATGTTTTGAATATAGTATTAAATAGTTTCAAGTATATAATGGGCTGGTTTATAAACACATTACATTATAATTATGCACCATTCCCCACTCCACTACAACTGGAGTTCACTACAGCTTTTCTGTTGTAGATTTTTGTTGTTGTTCATTCGTTCAGTCGTCTCCGACTCTTCGTGACCTCATGGACCAGCCCACGCCAGAGCTCCCTGTCGGCCGTCACCACCCCCAGCTCCTTCAAGGTCAGTCCAGTCACTTCAAGGATGCCATCCCTCCATCTTGCCCTTGGTCGGCCCCTCTTCCTTTTTACCTTCCACTTTCCCCAGCATAATTGTCTTCTCTAAACTTTGCTGTCTCCTCATGATGTGGCCAAAGTACTTCAACTTTGTCTCTAGTATCCTTCCCTCCAATGAGCAGTCGGCTTTATTTCCTGGAGGATGGACTGGTTGGATCTTCTCGCAGTCCAAGGCACTCTCAGCACTTTCCCCCAGCACCACAGCTCAAAAGCATCGATCTTCCTTCGCTCAGCCTTCCCTAAGGTCCAGCTCTCACATCCGTAGGTTACTACAGGGAATACCATGGCTTTGACTAGGCGGATCTTTGTTGCCAGTCTGATGTCTCTACTCTTCACTATTTTATCGAGATTGGCCATTGCTCTCCTCCCAAGAAGTAAGTGTCTCCTGATTTCCTGGCCACAGTCTGCATCTGCAGTAATCTTTGCACCTAGAAATACAAAGTCTGTCACGGCCTCCACATTTTCTCCCTCTATTTTCCAGTTGTCAATCATTCTTGTTGCCATAATCTTGGTTTTTTGATGTTTAGCTGCAACCCGGCTTTTGCGCTTTCTTCTTTCACCTTGATTAGAAGGCTCCTCTGCTCCTCCTCGCTTTCGGCCATCAGAGTGGTGTCATCTGCATATCTGAGGTTGTTAATGTTTCTTCCAGCAATTTTCACCCCAGCTTGCCACATTCCTCGAGCCCCGCACATCGCATGATGTGTTCTGCATACAAGTTAAAAAGGTTGGGTGAGAGGATGCAGCCTTGCCGTACGCCTTTCCCAATCTTGAACCAGTCTGTTGTTCCGTGGTCAGTTCTGACTGTTGCTACTTGGTCCTTGTACAGATTCCTCAGGAGAGAGACAAGGTGGCTTGGTATGCCCATCCCACCAAGAACTTCACAATTTATTATGATCCACACAGTCAAAGGCTTTAGAGTAGTCAATGAAGCAGAAATAGATGTTTTTCTGAAAGTCCCTGACTTTATTCTTCGTGTCGTCCGTGAAATGCGCACCTATGGGTTCTTCCTTGCGCATGCGCAGAAACTCGGAACATTTCTAGTTAAAATGAATTAAAAATGATTATTTTGAGCCATATAGGCTCCGCCCATCTCCCCGCCCCCCGGATATATGCGCCGAGCGGCGCCGCCATTATCTAGTTCCTTTTTCCGCGCTAAACTAGCAGCATCTCGGAACAGCTTCTCCTCGATTCTTTCATAACTTGGACTGAACTTTGGACTGATTTTTTGACTGACCGCCTGCCTCTCTCCAACCCTTGACTCGGACCGACTGACTACTCTCCTCTTCACCCTCAGGCTAGGATGTCTTCCCTCTATTTCAAAAATTGCTCAGCTTGCGGGGCCACCCTCCCCGAAGCTGATAGGCATTCAAAATGCCTCCTTTGCTTGGGGGAATCCCACAATCTCCAATCCTGCGAGATTTGCCTTAATTTTACTACAAGGGCTCGCAAAACAAGAGATGCCCGTTTAAAAGCTTTACTTTACGAGCGCGCTCTGGCTCCACAATCCCTCCCTACCCCCTCCCTATCCCCAATAATGGAGCCCTCTCAGCCTCTGGGGCGAACCCAGAATAGACCTATTTGCATCTCCAATAAACAACCACTGTCCCCTCTATTGCGCACGACTCCACCCTCGCGCATCCCAAGGCTGTCTCGGAGACGCCTTCCTATTCCAATGGTCGCCCGGCCTCCTCTACCTCTTCCCACCGCTCCCTCTCCTATCCCCAGTCATAGCCAAAATAATCCAGGACAACGCGGATTGCATTCTAATCACACCCTGGTGGCCACGACAACACTGGTTTGCCCCCCTTCTCCAAATCTCCAACAACGAATACCTCCATCTCAGCCAAACCCCAGACCTTCTCACAGTAGAGAACGGCCTGGTCTTACACCCAGACCTGCAATCTCTACGCCTGACGGCGTGGAGAATCAAACCACACTAGTTCTTTCTGATGAAGTCTCCCGCATACTCTTGGCGGCCCACAAACCCGCCACTAAAAGATCATATGACTACAAGTGGTCCTCTTTCAAATCCTTTGCTCAATCACTGGGACACAACCCCATTTCTGCACCTATACCCTTGATTCTAGACTTCCTAGTCCACCTCTCCAACAAAGGTTTCTCCCTTTCTTCGGTGAAATGCTACCTGGCAGCAATTTCCTTTTTCCAAAGAAAGTCCGGTTTGCCGTCCCTTTTTCAGGACCATTTGGTACAATTATTCCTTAAGGGCTACAAAAATATCCACCCTCCCGTCTCCCCCCCTCCCCCCCAGTGGAGCCTGGAGCTAGTGTTATCCCAGTTATCCAAACCACCGTTTGAACCTATGACCTCTAATGATATCTCCCACCTGTCGTGGAAGACGGCCTTCCTTGTGGCCATTACCTCAGCCAGGAGAGCCAGCGAACTCGCGGCCCTCCGCTCAGACCCCCCCTATGTTAGATTCCACCCTGACAAGGTCGTCCTCCGCACCGATGTCACGTTCCTCCCTAAGGTGGTCTCTCACTTTCATATGTCTCAAGACATTGTTCTGCCAAATTTTTTCCCCAACCCATCCTCCCAGTTGGAGGTAGTTCTGCACTCCCTTGATGTTAAAAGAGCACTCTCCTTTTACTTACATAGAACTTCCACCTATAGGAAGTCTCCTAGATTGTTTTTGAAATACAGGAAAGACGTACTTGGCCAACCTGTGTCCTCCCAAGGACTAGCCTCCTGGATTGTTGCGACGATCCGTCTAGCCTACCAACTCGCAGGCAAAGACCCTCCATCCCACCTTGTGGGACATTCAACACGCTCTGTGTCCACATCTCAAGCATTCCTCAAGGGAGTTCCCTTGGACCAAATTTGCAAAGCAGCTACGTGGGCTACACCGTCCACGTTTGCCTCCCACTACAAGCTTGACATACAAGCAAAGAAAGATGCCGGTTTCGGCAGAGCAGTTCTTTTCTCCTGTGTGGCATGACCCACCTCCAGGTCAGTAGCTTGCTATTCACCCATAGGTGCGCATTTCACGGACGACACGAAGAATAAATAAAGGTTGCTTACCTGTAACCGTATTTCTTCGAGTGTCAGTCCGTGAAATCCGCACGACCCGCCCGTCCTCCCCTCTGTCATGCCATTCTCCTGGCCGCTGTTTAGCGCTAGGAACTAGATAATGGCGGCGCCGCTCGGCGCATATATCCGGGGGGCGGGGAGATGGGCGGAGCCTATATGGCTCAAAATAATCATTTTTAATTCATTTTAACTAGAAATGTTCCGAGTTTCTGCGCATGCGCAAGGAAGAACCCATAGGTGCGGATTTCACGGACTGACACTCGAAGAAATACGGTTACAGTTAAGCAACCTTTATTTCTCCATTATCCAGCGGATATTGGCAATCTGGTCTCTCGTTCCTCTGCCTTTTCTAAACCCAGCTTGAACATCTGGCAACTCTCGCTCCATGTATTGCTGAGTCTTCCTTGCAGGATCTTGAGCATTACCTTACTGGCATGAGAAATAAGGGCCACTGTACGGAAGTTTGAGCAGTCTTTCGCATTTCCTTTTTTTGGTATGGGGATATAAGTTGATTTTTTCCAGTCTGATGGCCATTCTTGTGTTTTCCATATTTGCTGGCATATGGCATGCATCACCTTGACAGCATCATCTTTTAAGATTTTAAACAGTTCAGCTGGGATCCCGTCGTCTCCTGCTGCCTTGTTGTTAGCAGTGCTTCTTAAGGCCCATTCAACCTCACTCCTCAGGATGTCTGGTTCTAATTCATTCACCACACCGTCAAAACTATCCTCGATATTATTATCCTTCCTATACAGATCTTCTGTATAGTCTCGCCACCTTCTCTTGATCTCTTCAGCTTCTGTTAGGTCCCTGCCATCTTTGTTTCTTATCATACCAATTTTTGCCTGAAATTTACCTCCAATGTTTCTAATTTTCTGGAAGAGGTCTCTTGTCCTTCCTATTCTGTTGTCTTCTTCCACTTCCATGCATTGCTTGTAGATTAATGACAGATTAAAGTGTATTTATTGTATCAGATCAAAAAGTAGTTAATTTTTATTGTGTTTTATCTCAAGTTGTTAAACCATTATTCATGAAGTAGTATTGGAAGCACATAATAGTCTTTTCTTTTGGTAGAAAAAAATGTAAAGTTAATATGGCAGCTAATCTAAACTTCTCTGGAATGTTTCTTCCACTTTTCCCATACTAGAAAAACTGTTACCTGTTATATTTTTATTCCACATATGTTAAATGCACAGGAATAATTGTAGGAGCTACCAGATACTGTGTATGTGCTCTGAATATGTCTGCTGCTCAAAAAATGTTTCTAAATGATATACATATACATGTGACAACTTACTTTATGGATGAACTAGCTTTTAATGGGAGCTCTGCATTTTATGTCAGTAATTTTAGAATTTCTGCAGTACAAGAATCTGTACTTATGCTAATCCTTTCAGTCATTGGCAAAGTCTGTTTTTTTACTGAAAAACTATGAATTATTGTAAGTATTATATGCTCTCTGATTATCTCTTTTAGTTATAAACTCTGTAAATTAATCTGAGTGCTGCTGCAAATATAATTATAAAATATTCTTCCTAGATTCCTGTTCAGGAATACTAGTTATGATTTTATTTTTTCTACAAACCAAATTGTTCTTGGTATTATTATTTCTGTTGAATAGCCTATGAAGTAATTAAAATACTGGCATGGCAGACACTCATAGGTTAATGCTGAATTTGCTGAAATCTGATGTTCAAAATGAAAGATGGAATAATATCAAAGTCAATAATAATATTGATAATTGTCATATATAATTATTTCAAAAAAAAGCAAAGATTAAACTTTTTTAGAAATTGAGTGTGATTTTTACTTACTTACCCTTTCATCAGAAGCAAAGAACATCCTGACTTGAAGCTCTGGTGTCAGCCGTGGAAACATCTTGATGTAGAAGAAAAATCTCATACTATGCGCCTCATTCATGTTGAAGAAAACTGTTGCAAAGAAGAGACTGCAAGTTACAGAACTTTTAATGGAACGATTGACAAACCTTCAGCCATTCCTTCTGTAGAGGAATCTTATATTACCAGTGAACACTGTTACCAAAAACCTCGAGCCTATTATCCTGCAATAGAACAGAGACTTGTTGTAGAAACCAGAAATTCGGACATTGATGAGAGTGTTAATAGGATAAGAGAGAATGGAGATGATACAATAGTGGAGCGGTTAGGATGGGAGCTGGATAGAGAAATATGCAAGTTGGAAAACGAGTCAAAACATAATTACTCTAAGGTATGTTGAACTGGGGTCTTCCTGGGTTTTGGTAGTAGGGAGACAAACGCACCTCTACTGGAAATTGTGTGACTGAATAGTGAAAAGCTAAGGTTGGATTCTAGGATAAGTTAGAACATGGAATGATTCAGCATATTGTTTGGGGGTTCTTTAAAGGTATTAATAGAAGGGGGTTAAATAAATGCACTGCCAGTTAACTATAATAGGTAAAATGGAAAGACCAAAACATTGAACCCCCTTCGTTTATATTTCCAAAAAATAGTTACCAAGTCCAAGCTTATGAAATATTTGCTAGGGAAAGTGGGAACAATTACTATTGTTTTTTCATAAAGGCTTTATTTGCACTAAGGTTAGTATTTTATTTAATTAATTAGCTTTCAGAACTAAAGTAAATACTATATTAAAACACTTTATTATTTGCTTACCTTAGAGCATTGTGGTGATTCTGTCTATGCATTTTATATAACCATTTCTTAAACCTTCTAACTTATTCAGACAGGCATATTATTGTTTCAGTTCATTCCATAAAAGAATCTATAATGTTAAAACATGCTCTGAGAGGCTTGGAATATCTGACACAGAAAACCATGTTTCCACTCATGTATTGTCTACTCTTACTTTTGATCCAGAAATATTCGTACTTGCATTTATTCAGTTTTACTGTAAACAGCAACTTTTATTATATTGGACAACTCAATACTTATTAGAATGAGTGATTTGCATATTTTGGCAGATAAGAGAGAAAGTCACATCTGAAGAAGACAGTGATGTGAAACAGCTGGAGAAGGACAAGGAAGGAGTTGTGAATTCTCAGTTGCAGTGGCAACTTAATCTTTTAGCCCATGTTGAGTCTTTACAAGATGAAGTTACTCATAGGATGGATTTAATTGAAAAAGAACTAGATGGTAAATAGCTTTATTTTTCATTTTTCAGTTTGTTGCTACTTCTTACTATATTCATTCAGAATCCTTTTAAGAATGCTTAGAGCTCCTTTTTTGTTTAGCATATGTACTTGTGGGAGAGTGGAAGGGGGAGGAAGAAGAAGGGAACATGGAAAGCCTGCAGAACTGGCACCGCAGTTTGTAGAACAAGCAATGGACAAGGGTCTCCTCTGTCACAAATTCTGCAAAAATGCCACCGTCTTCTGGCTTTGGCTTCTACATCAGCTGACATCTTTTTACCAACCTCAGTTTTGCCTCCTTTGCTCTGACAGTTGTAACAGAACCATTGACCCCAGAACCTCCAGCAAAACAAGCTGTTAGTGCTGCTCAAGACTGAAATACATGTAACCTTTTAAAAAGTAACTATTGTGTAGATGTGTGAAAATTACTGTTCTTTTTTTCAGTTCTAGAAAGCTGGTTGGATTATACCGGAGAACTGGAACCACCTGAACCACTGGCTAGACTCCCCCAACTGAAACATTGTATAAAGCAACTACTTACAGACTTGGGCAAAGTACAACAAATTGCACTTTGCTGTTCAACATGATACTGGAGTGGAGACTTCTGCAAGATGGCTGGAGAATTATCACATGGCAAGCGCTCTTCTGTTTCAGTGGAATAACAGGCTTGTTGCATGTGATGCAGAACTGACTTCAGGGAATTGTTTAGGGAAAAGGGTTACTCTTCAGAAAAGTAATTTCTGTTCATTTGGCTTTTGCTAGGCATTTTTAACATTATGAAAATATTATGAAAAGGGATTTGTTCTTGTCTTCGAAGGCTAGAAGCAAGTTGGCAACAGACATTTCACTCCTTGTATCAAGTTGTTGAACTAACATTAATGTTCTTGACATACACTGACAATTTTGTGCCACTGGAGAACAAAGTTATAAGAGCCAAAAATGATTAGTTGACCAAGGCTGTAAATTACATTCTGCATAGTTAATTTAAGTGACAAGTGCATCAGGCACAGTCGTATTTTATTTTCATGGTTTATGCATAACCACAATATTTAATCCATAGAAGATATTATTTTCAAGCCTAGCAAGTATGAATGTCTAATTTTACTGTATACTGTTACAAGATGTTTGCAGATGATGACCTGCTATTTAAAAGAGGTGAAGCAGAAGGTCACAACTTGGTTGCACTTCTTTTCCTAGTAAATTATCATTTTCATATTTATCATGACATTGTAGCATGACTTCTATGGTACTGGGAAGCCTGTTTATGTTGTACTTCTGTGCATTCTTGGATTTCTAAGCCTGGCCATGAGGTACCTCCCGTGGCCGAGTGCGAATGGGACGCCCTCATAGGAGGAGGGCATAACAGAAAAGTTGGAAGTAAACGATGTACTACAAATCCAGATTTAGCCATGGTCTGTGATAGATGCTGTGTAGTTTTCTATCCTACTGTTAATGATTGGCATTCCGGTTATAGTTTGAATTGTAGTCTTTTTCAATATTATAAACTTCCTCATTGTAGAGACTTGTAAATGTGTGGTTTTGGGGATCAGTTTATTTTATATTTGTGTAAATGAAGCCTCAAGATCTATGCATGAGGTTCTGTCCAAAAGACAATGGGACATTATATTAAACAGTATGTTTTCAAAATCCCTTTTTGTACCTTTATTTTTAGTTTCTTTATTTGTATTATTTGTGAGATCCAAGTGGAAATGCTGCTTAAGTTGAAATTAGGTTATCCAGTACCTTTTGGAAACATTGGTGTATTGTAAGTATTTGGTATATTTAAAAAATGCTTGCAGATCATATTTCCATTTTATTTTATTTTTTTGTTAGCATCTGAGGGGGACAGGAACGGACTATTTTTGCATTGAAGGTGTTTTGAATGTTGGATTTATATTACCTTAATATTCTGTTTTGGACACCACCAAAGTTTGAAATTAAAGCACATTTGTGAGTTGAAGATCTGTTAAGTGTACAAATTAATAATTATGGATACAAATCTGTAATGTTCATATGCTGCAAAATTACGTAAATTAAAGTTAGCCAATGTTTGTCATACAATTAACATTTTGACCAGCTGATCTTTCAGAAAGAATTACTACACTATTCCAAGTTGAAACAAAGGCATTTTGTGCCAAGACTAATTTCAGGGAATAATTTGTCTCCAGTTTATTGGCACTTACTGGTTTTGAGTGTAACATCTGTACAGCAGATATACTTTTTTGCTGTAATAATTTGGAATAAAGCTTATGTGATGGTTAAATGAGACCTAATTATTTCAAAGTCAAGTAGTTCTTACATTGTCTGAATTTTCACAGTGATATTTATTATCCAGGGATGCAATATTTAGATATTTAGATCCCATCTTTCTGTCTTCTGACTGTAAACAAATGCAGGAGTAAAGCTTGCAGTGCTCTTCTAATGTTTGGTCAACTTCTTTGTTCCTTTATTATTCCCCCAACTGATTCTGGGGCCAGTACTCTATTTTATTTTATTTCCCATATTTGTATCCCACATACATACATGTATCAAATAAACAATTACAATTAACACCAAACAATTAAAACATCAATTATTAAAACATCAATTTAAAATCACACTATCCCTAAAATACGCTATCCCTGAAACTCAAAAGGTTTCATTGACTGCCCCCAGTCAGCAATTGGTATTTCTTTTAAAATATTAAAAGGGTGTGCAACTTATTTGTAAGGCAATTGCATCTTCTGTGGACTTCAAGGGCTACAAAATGGGAGATTGCTTTACTTTTTCGACACTGGGAGAAGTGACTTATAAAAACTTGATTGTTGGCTTTCCTATATGGCACAGCAAAGGCTAAAAGTACTAGCTATGCAAAGAGGAATTCTCACCACTGCTAGAGAAAAATCCTACAAATTATGTTGTTTCTACGCTTACCTGCTCTTAGAAGTAAGTAGCTACAAATGATGAGTGATTTGTGATTGCTTTTTCAACAATGAATGCATACTGTATGTTACAATATAACGGCAACTTGAGGAGCGATCACATCAATCCTTTTTCAATGGTAGCAGTTACTTTTGTCATTACAGAGACATAATCTCACTAAATGTTGCAAGACAAGAATAACGTGTTGCAAGTGCTGGGCCACGAGGTATATTTTGGTGTTGAAGTAATAAAGTGGACTAGAAGAGTATGTGTTTTGTCCAATAACACAACAGCTTGCAAAATTCCAGTTTTTAAATGTAACTTATTCTAAGAACTAAGAATTTTTTTAACAAATGAGAATAATGATGATGACTAACAGCTAAGAAAGTAGAAAATGGCTTGGAAGTATAACTGATTATTCATTTAAAATAAGTTCAGTAGTTATGAAACTGTTAGTTGGACCTGTGTTCTCATAACTGCTAAGAATTCTTACTTATTGCCATTAACAACTGAATGTGTTCCCAAAAAGCCATCTCTAGCTGGCAGCAACCCAGTCAACGGGTTTCTGAGGTGCTGTAGGTTGGGGTGCAGGAAAATGACGTCCGTATCACACTCCTGGATGTGGACACATTAAGACTAGTAGTTGTGGCAGGACCTCAAGAGAGTATTATTATTTTTTATTATATCCCACTTTGCCTCTACAAAGAGACCCAAAGTGTCTTCTCCAGCAGCCTATTCTAAGTGCATCTTGCAGCAAGGAGTTTACTGCAAATGCAATGTCCTCATCCTCTGATTTGCAAGTACCCCAGAAACCCTTCAGTTGGGGCACTTACAGGCTGAAACAGTAGGGTATTGGAGGGTGGGACCATGAGACATAACTTCAGAGCTCTCATTGTAGTTAGGATGTTGTAGGATCTTTGGCCAAAAGTTTGCAGAAGTAGCATATTATTCTGAACACCAGTGACAGCTGAAACAGTTTCATTTCCTTTCTTCTCTCCTATTTGACCTCCAAAGGAAGAAGATTGCAATTGTTATTGCAAAGAGTCAGATGTATGGTTTAGCTACCAGAAAAGCATGAGACACTGCAAGGGGCCATTCAGGGGCTGTAATTTAAAAATAAAGACTGGAATCTTGTATGACAGTCACAGATGCTCATGACTCGTGTTTATTCTTAATGCCTTCGTCTCCCCTCATTTAGGAGAAAGTCTTCCAATATACACGTAACAGGCAGCCGCTGCTGTGATCAACAGGAAGCAGCTAACTACCGTTTCTATTCACACTTCAGAGAGATCTCTAGTATGAGGGGAAATTTGCAGCAGCAATGCTGTTTTGGGCGCTCAGAATGGGGATTGTTCAGAGGAGAAGGTGGAAATGGCAGCCAACTGCTTCCTGAGCAGAAGGGGAACAAAACCTCAATTGCAGCCACTACTGTCCACTAAGTGGGGATTGAGAGGTCAAGGTGAAATTCACCACATACCACCCAAACTACAATTTTATACATATGTTTTGTCCAATGTTCTTTCGAACTTCCTTGCATGCGATTTAGTTAAATGTTGCAGGTAAGAGGCAGGATTGTTGAAAGCAGACTAGTAATTTCTACTTCTGTGGATATTATCAATAGCTTTAGAGTAGTAGGCACTTAGTTTGAATTAGTCTTTGTGTATTTTTAAAATCATATTGACAGCCTTTGTTTAATTCCATAGGGATAAAGAAATTCCATATAGAACAAGGAAACAAGTTTTTGGGACATTGTCATCTTAATTCAGGCATGGGCAAACTTCAGCCCTCCAGGTGTTTTGAACTTCAACTCCCACAATTCTACCAGCTGTTAGGAATTGTGGGAGTTGAAGTCGAAAATACCTGGAGGGCCAAAGTTTGCCCATGTCTGGTCTAGATTGAGGGATGTCATAGTCCCACTCTATTCTGCTTTGTGCTGGCCTCACCTGGAAAAATACTGGGTCCAGTTCTGGGCACCACAATTCAAGAAGGATATTGACAAGCTAGAAGATGTGCAGAGAAGGGCAACCAAAACGATCAAAGGTTTGGAGGCCAAACTGAGCAACAGCTGAGGGAGCTAGATATGTTTAGCTTGGAGCAAAGAAAGTTGGCAGGGAACATGATAGCCATGTTTAAATATTTAAAATGATGTCATATTGAGGAGGGGGAAAGCTTGCTTTCTGCTGCTCTAGAGCATAGCATATGGAGTAACATTCAAAGGTGCAGGAAAAAAGATTCCACCTAAACATTGCAAAAACGCTTCCTGGCGGTAAAAGCTGTTCAGCGGTGCAATATGCTGCCTTGGAGTGTCCTCAAGTCTCATTCTTGGGAGTGGGTGGATGTCCATCTGTCAGGAGTGATTTGAGTATGCATTCTTTGATGGTAGGGAGTTGGGCTGGATGGCCCTTGTAATTTTTTACAACTTTGATTCTATGAAATTTAAATTAAGGAAATTCATTGTACGTTTCTCTGGTCATGTTCACACCAACTTGGTACAAATTTTTGAAGGAGTAACAGACATAAAGACATGCACATAAATATACATAGTCTATCTGAATAGAAGCCAGAATCGACAGTAGTTTTAAAAAGAGTGAAAAAGTGTACAGGGTGACTTTCTGGGGTTGAAGGGTCACTGCTTCTTAGAGTAAGTTCATATTGCATCAAGGGGATAATATTAAAAAGTCTTATGTTCAAGTTTCATGTCCCAGAAGTTAATACTAACAATCTCAAGTATTTCTGGATCTCTTCTGCCCAAGTGTATCATCTAAGGGCTGGTTTTCAGTCATTAATAGATAAGTTGTCACAGATTCACGCAGGCCGAGGCTGATAGGAGAGTCTTCTGGTAGTGGACCTTCCGTCAACAGGTCAGAGCTAAAGAGAAAGTATATATGTGTAAAACATGTTGTAAAGCAGAAGAATGAGCATCCTCTTCTAAAATTACACTGGCCAATACACATTTTGGTGCCTCAAATGTTCGCCCTCTTTCTAGGCATATCTGACCTGCTGGTTCAAAACAAATGGCACCAGTTTTCCACTATCGGCTCTAGTTTTTGAGATCCAGAACGTATGGCTTCTACCAGTATTTATCTGTTTGCCCTTAGAAAATCATGGTAACGATATCTAAGAAATTAGAGCTGATGTGATCTATCCAGTGTAATTTTCTGAATCTGAACCCAAATAACCACAGAAACAGGCCTAAAAACCAAGACAACAATAATTTTTTGTTTGGGCTGTGTAATTAGATCAGGCATGAGCAAACTTTGGCCCTTCAGGTGCTTTGGACTTCAATTCCTAATAGCCTACCAACTGTTAGGAATTGTGGAAGTTGAAATACAAAACACCTGGAGGGCCAGGGTTTGCCCATGCCTGAATTAGACCATTGTAACTGAAGCTTAGTTCCCAGACACAAAGATCCCTGCACTAATATTTCAATCACATTGGAAAACAATACATAATGTGTATCCTCACTCCATACAAAACTAGAACTATGGTTCTTCTACGTGGTCCCTGTGAAATGCATACATATGGGTCTCCTGCGCGAGGACTACAGTCACTTGATAAGCAACCTGTGTTTTATTGATCCAGGATTGTATCAAGTAGATATCCTCATCTTGTTCTGGTTCTTTAGAGTGGAACAGACATAGTACAAAGTACAGTGGGACCATGAGACTTAATCTCAAGACATAAGGGGACATAATTGTATAGTTCTGTGAATAAAATAAAATCAGCATTTAGTCACTCCAAAAAATTCTTATATGGTTTATTGCAACATTGTAACTAATTTGGTATTTGTTTGGTATAACACTAGATTTGCACCTTTGTAGACAAAATATCCTGATAATGCTTAAGAGTTTTATATAATACTAGCTGTACCCGCCATGCATTGCTGTGACCAAACTTCCCTCCCCCTTTCTCTCCTTTCTTTCTTTCCTTCCTTCCCTTTTTTTCTTTCATACTTTCCTTCCTTCTCTTCTTCTTCCCTTTCTTTCCCTTCCTCTTTCTCCCCTTTCTGCTCTACCTATTCTTGGACTGCAACTCCCAGCAGTCCTCCTGATCAATCTTATCTACCTACCTATCTGTCTTATCTATCTGGAGGATTGCTGAGAGTTGCAGTCCAGGAATAGGAAATTGGAAATATGCAGGGATAGGGATGCTCTCAAAGAAATCCAAGGAGAAGAAAGCTTGCAGCTAGGAAGCAGTGCATTTAGATCATCCTCCTCTCCTAAAGAGCCTGGTCTAGGGCATGCTGGGAGCTGTAGTCCGGAAGAGAGTGTGGATATGCTATTGTGTGCTTTGTTTGCCAGGGGGAGTTGTTTCGTGCATGCGCTATAGCATCTTTTTACTTTTTTGCTTTTTAAGTCCCTTCTGCTGTGTTTTTCAGTGTTTTTATGATTGATGGTCACTTGTTGGCCTGGCAGGTGTCTTGTGTCCAAATTTCATGTCAATTCGTCCAGTGGTTTTTGAGTTATGTTAATCTCACAAACGAACATTACATTTTTATTTATATAGATTGCCTGGGTATACATTTGTGCAGCCACTCAGCACATGTAACAGTGGCTCATCTAATCCATTTATTTAGTACTTCCCTGAATCAGATCATTATGAAAACTGGAGGTAATTCCCTTACATTACTCAATGAGGAAAGATAGAATGCAAGAGGGGAAAATACCTGTTGATCTCTTGCCAGTTAAGAGCTGGCTTGCTCACTACTTTTGGGTTGGAAAGGCTGTGGCAGAAATCTGAAGCAGATCCTTGAATGAAACATGGCTCCTTTAAGCAACAACACAAGCCATCCCCAGTTTCTGCAGAAGGAGAGAGAGTCAAAATGGGATTCAAACCACATCAGGTTCTATGACAATAGGAACAAACACTGCATAAAGCTGCTGTGTCTTAAATGTCTTAGTGGGAGTACTTCTCTACAGACACCAATTGCCAACCTTCACTCATTCTGGCATGATCAATTACGGCACCTAGTGAATGTAGTCAAACCCCTCAGAGACAAAGTAAACAAACTGTCATTAGTAATGATGACAGCTTGTACAACTCAGAAATTGTGTGCAAAGTGTAGGTATAAGCTCCACAAGCTGTAAGAAGTCCAACAGTATTCAGTACTTTGGGAAGAACTCACAAGTAACTATTTTTTCATATACTTTTGTCATATTTTGTCATATACAAATATTAATCTTACCAGAATAAGAGTCTACCAGCTCGTGTAGGCTTGGGAAGGTGAGACTGGGAGAGATGTAAAGCCAGCCATTCTCTAAGCGGTTAATACGATAGTGTTTCACACAATCCCAGGAAGCATGATTTGTGTGTCTGATTGACAAGGAGTAGCAACCTGGGTGCAAACAGAGGTCAGGAGCACCATCAGCCATGAAATGACACACATCCATGCCACAATGAAAACTGGTGGGATGGCCTGGTTGATGGAACAGCCTTGATATCCAGACCCACTTCTTTGTTATTCCATGCTGAGCTATCATCCTTAAGATTTTGTGTTGACTTGTCTTATTTCTCACACAATTAAATTGAAATTCTTCAAAGCTAAACTAAACATTACAGCAGCTTAATTCAAATAAACCCCCACCTCCATTGCCAACAATTTCCTTAGCAAGTTTGCCAAAGGAAGAACCCTAAGGGATAAAATCTGTGGCAATACATAGAGGGAGGAAAATGATTTAGGCCTATCATGCAAAGGCAGTCATTGGGTTGTTTTGATGTCTTGTAAGAGGAGAGATGTAGCACCATGTTTTTCTCTTCCTCTTAAACATAATTAAATAGTCTAATTCTGGAGGAGAGTTGGGAAACCAATGGACTTCTACAATTTCTAAAGTCAATGAGGATGGCAATGATTTTTTTGTGTCAGGAGCAACTTGAGAAACTGGAAGTTGCTTCTGGTGTGAGAGAATTGGCCGCCTGCAAGAACATTGCCCAGGGATCGCCCAAATGTTTTGATGTTTTACCATCCTTGTGGGAGGCTTCTCTCATGTCCCCATATGGGGAACTGGAGCTGACAGAGGGAGCGTGGCAAAAGTATGATAGCTGGGACCCTACACTATGCTAGTTGCACAATGTGGGTCAGAATTAATGAAGGGAAGACATGAGCAACGTGGGTCAGAATTAATGAAGATGTGCGCAGGACAGCAGAGCGATTGAGAGACACAGCTGCAACAGGAAGTCATTTAAGTCAGGTGCGACAGGATAAGGGTGAAGTAATGTCAGAGTTATTTAATGTAAAATGAGAATCAACGGCTTACAAAGATGGTAAACAGGATAGAAATGTTACTTCTCCCCCTTTCTGGCTAACAATGTTTCCACGACTGATGCAGCTGCGTCTCTCACTCGCTGCACTGTCTCGTGCACGTGTCCCCTCATTAACTCAGACCTGTGTTACGCAACCAGCATAGGGTCTCAGCTATCAAACTTTTGCCGGGAGCTCATCCGCACTCTCCCTGGATTCGAACCTCTGACCTGTTGGTCTTCAGTCCTGCCAGCACAAGGGTTTAACCTATTGTGCCACCAGGGGCTCCTACCAGCAATGATGACGATGCCATATTCTACACCAGGGCCTCCTAAATGTTTCTTACTCACGAACCCTTTCTGTCTGAGGAATGTTTACATGACTCCCATTTATGTAGGTATATAAAATAGGTATAAAAATAAAACATCTACTGAAAATAAATCAGCATTTGCAAGAATTGCTAAACAGGCTGATTTTCCTTTTTGTGCAGTTCAGCTAAAACATTTTCTGCAGAGTCCACTGTAAACTCGGCATGTTGTAGCAAAGAGATTTGTATAAATGGATGGCATTCAGAAACCTTTTATTATTACCACATTTTTGTGACTCTAACATTGGGCAGAGGGGACCCCGTTTAGGGTTGAAACCCACAGTTTAAGAAGCAACATTCCACCATTTGAGCATTATTGTATTGTTTTATTTAAAATTTAATAAACACCTATATATGAAGAAGCAACATTCTATTTCATCTCCTTATTTATAAAAGCATAACTAAAGGGACACCTCTTAGCCCAAACTCCCAAGCTTACTTTCCCAGACAACAACCACTCCAAGACATGGAACAGAGGTCGGATAACTTGGCAATCAGGGAGCTGGAAGGTAATGTTTCTTTCTCCTCCTCCTCCCAGCAAGTGAGGCTGCAACAAGAAGTAACTGGACCTCCCTTGCAACCCCTTGTTGTGGCCTCACTTGCTGCAGGAGTGGGGGTGAAAAATCCTACTTCCGTGTCCTTTTTGCCAGCAGAACAGGCTTCTATTTCTTAGTGCAGCTGCTTCCTATAAAAGCAGGATTGGAAGGATATTTATGATTGTGACTGCATAGCATTCATTAATATGGAGCAGTTATGGAACCATATGTTTAGATTAAGAAACCATAACTGCAATACAACTCACCAGGTGTTGTTCCCTGCCTTTTTCTAATATGGAATTCATGGCAAATCGTAAACATCATTAAGCATCCACAGCATACAAAAGTTAAAGGATACAACTAAGTGGTTGGCTAGGGGTGGAGTCAAATGACCATACCCTCTGGATGACCATATGTTCTCTACCTCTCGTGTACAATTCACCTCTCCAAAAAAATTAGGAGCAATGTGGGCTTTTCCACCAGTTGTCATCCTTTCTGCATTATAGCCTATTGGTCTGAGCAAAGTTTCCCAAGATGAAGCTAAATAAATAAATTAGAATTACCCCTAACACCTCTAGGCCACTATCTTCTCTATAAATCAAATTATTTCCATACCTTTCCTCATTTGGCTTTCTCTTATCAGGAAAGAGCCTTCACGGTTATAAGGCAGCAGCAACAACTCTTCAGCTTTTGCACGGCTGATGCCCTCATAAAGCCATCTGAAAAGGTAAGAGGGATACATTGTTAATGCCCTCAAAACCTGCCCTATAGAAGTTTCAGAAGTGACAAAAGACTGTATCTGGAAAAGTGTGTGGGAAGTGTGTACATTTCCCCATGTGTTGGTACCAGGATTTGTGTCCTAACATATAGGAGCCTGATTGCAGCCAAAAACACTCCCAACTCTCTTATACCAGGCATGGGCAAACTTTGGCATGGGCAACTTGGGCATGGGTAACTTGGGGGCCGCATGGTGGACCAGAGCGGGGTGGGCAGGCTAGGGCACCCCGCTCTTCCCTTTCAGAGGCAGAAAGTGAAGGAATGACAGGAAACATTTGGATCCCAAAAGAGTTGGCCTTGGTCAGGATGAAATGGTGGACAGGAGAGAAAAAGTACATCTATTAGATCTTGTATTGCCTGCTCCTGATATAGAATCCTAGAGTTGGAAGAGACCTCCAGGGGCCATCCAGTCTAACCCTCTCCCATGCAGGAAGGCATAACCAAAGCACTCCTGATAGGCAGCCTCTGCGGAAAGCCTCCAGAGACTGAGACTCCACCACATCTCAAGGCAGCCTATGCCATTCTCCAGGAAGTTCTTCCTAATCTTTTCAGTCGAATCTCTTTCCCTGCTATTTGAAACTATTGCTCCCTTGTACCCTGGTCTCTAGAGCAGCGGAAAGTCAATGGGGCATGGTTCTCTACCTTCTCTTCTCCCAGCTAAATATCCCCCAGGAGGAAGGAAAAAGAGAAGTGTGGAAGGGAGGGAAGAAGAGAAAGATTAATGGATGGATGGGTGGAAGAGAGGGAGAGAGTGAAGACAAATTGGAAGGAAGGAAGGAAGGAAGGAAGGAAGGAAGGAAGGAAGGAAGGAAGGAAGGAAAAAGAGAGAGGGGGAAGGAGGGATAAAAGGAAGGAATGACAAAAGGGTAGAAGGAAGGAGGAAAGGAGAAAGAGAGAGGTAAGAGAGGGAGGGAAGGAAAGAGAGAAGGTAGGAAGGATAGGATGGTATGAGAGAGGAGGGCCTGAGAAAAGAGCCCAAGGGCCCACATCTGTCTCCCGAGCCTGGGTTTGCCCATGACTGTCTTATACTGATGTTCTCTAAAACAAAATCTCCTACCTGTGAGAAATTTTAGCTATGTGATTGCTGGGAATACAGCAGCTCTTGCCAGTCACAGCCGATTCCACTTTCCACCATTCACCCTTTCTGCAGAAACAAAATCATGCAAAGACATTAATTCAAGCATCGATTTCTTTCAAAATTGTATGAAGGAGCCTCCTGTGTCATCACGTCATCAGTTGGGAGCCCCTCCCCCCAGCACCACCTGCTGCTCTGGGACCAGGGTGAAGAGAGGGGGCCAGGAAGACAGTTACACCATGTCTCTGTGCTAATAATATAATATAATATAATATAATATAATATAATATAATATAATATAATATATATTGTATTGTATATGCATATAATATTGATAATATTATAAGATAATAAAATATAATACTACTAATAGGGTATTATAATTATATATTTTATATTACATTAAATATTACTAATAATATTACAGTATAATGGTATAGTACACTATAGTAATATATAATATGGTACTAATATAATGTATTGTATTTACATATTACTTGTAAGCCGCTCTGAGTCCCCTTTGGGTGAGAATAGGTATATAAATGTCGTAAATAAATAAATTAGCAAGATATCTAATCCTCCATGTCTGTGTCAGCCAAGGTTGCTTCCATTGGGTGGATTGGAGCAATTCCTTTGGGGCACAAATGCTGAGTGGCGTAGAGGCTGCCATGGCAGCTGGACCCTGGTATTCACCCTCTGATAGAAGTACAATGTGTGCCCAGGCTTCTTGGCCTTGCACCCCCTTGGCCTTAAATACATTACCAAACATAAATGCTATGGTGTTTGTAGGATGGGGGGCTTTCCTCAGTCAGCAAAATGCCTTGTACTCACTCAGACAGCAACTTCAGCTGCTCTCCCATCCGGAGTATTGGCTCTGCTTGCCCAGAAGGGAAATTGCACACTGCCACTGCTATAGAGGGATTTGTATCTACAAGTACAGAAACAAAAACAAAAAAGTGTGCCTTGGACTTCATATCTACTTATGTCTGAATTTTTTTTGCTGCCCTTGAAGAGAAACTGCAAACTTGAACTAGTCCCAAATGCAGCAACTAGAATGTTGGCAAGAGGTTTCTGTGAGTTTTCCAGGTTGTATGGCCACATGGAAACTAGGCAAGTGATGGTTATATATCTGTGGAATGTCTTGCCTAGTTTCCAATAAACCCTTCAACCTCTGAGGATGCCTGCCATAGATGTAGGTGAAACGTCAGGAGAGAATGCTTCTGGAACATACTTCAGAGATGCTGGAGGGTGACTGAATCATTATGCAGCCAGCTATGGAGTCATAGCCAATTGCCCCTTATTCTTCAGTAGCTACCAACCAGATGTGGACAGGGCCCTTGGAAGAGAACAATGAATCCTGGAGAAGGTAATGAGGGAGCAGAATTTTCCCTCTTTTTCTCTTGGGATTTTGGAATACCTATATCAGCATATATGAGCATAAGGAGATACCTTAGAGATGGGACCAAGTCTAAACACATAATTAATATATGCTTCACATACACCTTGTACACACAGAACAAAGGCAATTTTTATACACATTTTAATAATGTTGTGCATGAAACAAAGTTTGTGTGCATCTAACCATCATATCATAGAATCCTAGAGTTGGAAGAAACCTTGTGGGCAATTCAGTCCAACCTCCTGCTAAGAAGCAGGAAAATCACATTCAAAGTACCCCCGACAGATGGCCATCCATCCTCTGCTTAAAAGCCTCCAAAGAAGGAGTCTCCACCACACTCCAGGGCAGAGAGTTCTATTGCTGAACAGCTCTCACAGTCAGGAAGTTCTTCCTAATGTTCAGATGGAAACTCCTTTCCTGTAGTTTGAAGCCATTGTTCCACGTCCTAGTCTCCAAGGCAGCAGAAAACAAGCTTGCTCCCTCCTCCCTATGACTTCCCCTCACATATTTATACATGACCCTTATCATGTCTCCTCTCAGCTTTCTCTTCTGGAGGTTAAACATGCCCAGCTCTTTAAGCCACTCCTCACAAGCCTTGTTCTCCAGACTCTTGATCATTTTAGTTGCCCTCCTCTGGACACATTCCAGCTTGTCAACATCTACCTTCAATTGTGGTGCCCAGAATTGGACACAGTTTTCCAGGTGTGGTCTGACCAAGGCAAAATAGAGGGATAGCATGATTTCCCTGGATCTAGACACTAGACTCCTATTGATGCAAGCCATGATGATGATGATAATAATAATAACAACAACAACAACTCATTTGCTGTTTCAGTAAAATAATAACAACACTTTATTTATATTCCACCCTATCTCCCCAAAGGCGACTCAGGCCGGATCACAGCACACATACACGGCAAACATTCAATGCTGTTTGGACAGACAGGATGGAAACAGACAGAAAGGAGTTTTGTTGTGTCAACAAAATCCCATTTGCTTTTTAAGCTGCCGCATCACAGAAAGCAAAGGTGTCGTATCTCAGCTACCCCTGTGTACTTTTAAAGCCCTAAAAGGTTTAGGCTCAGGCTACTGAAGCACTATCTGCTTCTGTAAGGAAGGTTTTTTTCCCCATATCCTTTCTCTGAGAAGCACAGCTATCTGGAGAGCAAGAAAGGAGTGATAAATTGGGCATAAAAACATCCTCGCGTTAGTCTCCTTCTCTAAGAGGACATAAGGGGCCCAGCCTGTTGCCTCGGCGCCCAATTAAAGCATTTTTTTCCTGTTTTGGTGGACTACCTGACAAATCTTTCCATTTTCACATTGATCTCTTGTCTGTCTTGTCTCCTTTACCCTTGGAGAACCTATTCTGGATATGATTTGAAATTAAAGATTAGAAACTATAATTGGTACTCAGACTCTTTCTCCAGAACCCTTGATTTCATGAACGGATAGATATTAAAATATGTACTTTCATAGAATCAGCATCGTACTGCATCTTCCTAAAATGAGCCTGGGTTTGCCCTGAATTCAGCCACGTTTGCTATTTTATCTCAGAAAAGCAGAATAACAGCTTCTGTACAGGTGTGGGGGGGGCTAATGCATGTGTCATAAGAGGATTGACGGTTTCAGGGACACCTTATGGTTCCTATCAAGCAGTGGATCAAACCCATTTCCATACTAGTGGGCATGCTAGTGTGAACTGCACTGAGGCCTGGTTGGGGAAGCATTTTAATTGGAAGTGTATGGACAATGACATCTGATCTTGTGAGGCCTTCCAGAGGACAGGAAAACTCAAAGATAATGTTTCATACTCAGCTATAGCGAAATATGGCTGCACCCCTTTTGTCATCATTTAGAGCAGTGGTCTGCAAGAATGAAAATATGGTCCACAGCCTCACCATTACTACACTATTGCCTCAAAACCATGTGGCAACAAGAGTGACTGCTCTTGCAAAACACTCTTATTGTGCCGAGGTAACAGGAATGTCTGGTGGGGAGAGGCTGTCTACCCACGAAAGATTACTACTACCATATTAGCTCTAGATTATTCAATATGGTTTTATTTGGGCAAGTGGGTGCCCCCGGTGGTGCAGTGGGTCAAACCACTGAGCTGCTGAACTTGCTGACCAAAAGGTCGCAAGTTCAAATCCTGGGAGTGGCGTGAGCTTCCACTGTTAGCCCCAGCTTCTACCAACCTAGCAGTTCGAAAACATGCAAATGTAAGTAGATAAATAGGTATCGCTCCAGTGGGAAGGTAATGGTGCTCCATGCAGGCATGCCAGCCACATGACCTTGGAGGTATCTATGAACAATGCTGGGTCTTCGGCTTAGAAATTGAGATGAGCAATCCAGTCTATGAATGTATGCATATGTGTATGATTGAGAGCCCACATTTATTTATTTAATTAATTAATTTAAAACATTTATGTTCTGCCCTTCTCACCCAGAAGGGACTCAGAGTGGAGCACAACATTCATTCGGCAAACATTAAATGCTGGAGCATAAAATAAACTATAAACATATATAAACACTAAATCAATTCTAGGCAGAATGGCTGCTCAATGGTAAACAAGATAACTTCCCCCAGACATGACTGAGAATAAACCCATAGCAGTTGTAATGGCCAGCGCAATCAGGATAGATAATAGACAAAAGCCTAGATGTAACGATGCACCATGTGTTTATATTATCTCCAACAATCTGATTGGAGAAATGGCTGATAAGCTGAGTAGAGGCTAGGGAGAGAGTAAAAGAAGGCAAGAGGAGATGGCGAACAGACCACTCTGCGGTCTAGAGAAGAGAAGGCTATCATGTACAAATGCTGCTAAACAACTCAAGACTTGGTTGCGGGATCTTGCGTTTGACCATTGAATAGTGGCTAGAGAAAAGAAGACATAAGCATAAGTGACAATGAATTGACCCAGATTCTGATTTTAACTGGCGTGTTTTAACAACTGTTTATTTAATGTTCTGTTTTAATGACTTTGTTGATTGTTTTTATTATTGTGATGGCATCAAATGGTGCTTGCTGTGAAGCCGCCCTGAGTCCCCCTTCAGGGGTGAGAAGGACAATATGAAATAAATAAATAAATAAATACTGCTAATAAAATTAATTAGTCCATGCTAGATAGATATAGTTCACTAAACAGATAGAGATAACGGGACAAAATGTGGCTTAAGATGAAAATATAACAGATGAGTTACAACATGTGGTTCTGTAATTAATGTCTTCTCTGCAATACAATGGAATGGAATAGAATGCAAGCACTATGGCTGGGCTGTGTTTTTCCTTAAGGGAAGCAATTATAGGGGAGTGTATGAATTATTACATATCTTAGAATGTGCTCATTATGTCATAATATATCATGAGATTCCCAAATTTAAGAATACTTAAAAAGAGTACTGGTGTTAAGTCTGTCTGATTTTTACCACCATATCATGCTGGATGGTGATAGTGGGACCTCAGTCAGAATCCAAATTTTCATACAAATAGAAGAGACCTTCAGTTCCTAAATCTAAAGAGATAGATGGGGGACTACACCAGTGCCATACAGATGTTTCTGACAGACAGATTGATGCAGTTCTGACAAAAGAGGCTCCATTTTATACTCTATTATTTTCCTCATCTTATACTCCATTATTTCCCTCAGTAAGCTTTCTGGAGGAAAGTTCTGAGAGTACCTTGGACTGCGAGAAGATCCAACCAGTCCATCCTCCAGGAAATAAAGCCCGACTGCTCATTGGAGGGAAGGATACTAGAGACAAAGTTGAAGTACTTTGGCCACATCATGAGGAGACAGCAAAGCCTAGAGAAGACAATTATGCTGGGGAAAGTGGAAGGCAAAAGGAAGAGGGGCCAACCAAGGGCAAGATGGATGGATGGCATCCTTGAAGTGACTGGACTGACCTTGAAGGAGCTGGGGGTGGTGATGGCCGACAGGGAGCTCGGCGTGGGCTGGTCCATGAGGTCACGAAGAGTCGGAGACGACTGAACGAATGAACAACAAAAACCTTTCTGTAAGGCAGTCCATTTCAAATAAAGTCACTTATACCTCCATGTCAACCACACAGTACTCTATGGCTCCATTTGGTCCAACATGAAAAGGTTACAGTGAAGTTTGGTATCAAACATATGTCTGAAACTTCTAGTCATGTTGCAGATGAGCTTTCTCCCAGAAGACTAATGAGGGTGAAGGGAGAATCTTTACTAACTGGTGGCTTAGTAAAGCTCTAGTAGTTTCTGTACTCTCACACTTTTGAAAAATCGGTGCTCTCCTAGATCCCAGGAATGAAATCCCAGCCAATGTGTGGGTCTGTCCTGCCAGTTAATTTCAGACCATCAACAAAATAATAATAATAATAATAAATCTCAGATTTGAAAGGTATGCGACATTACCACTTGTGCATTACCTCGCAGCTATGCAGTTAAAAAATTCTGCATTCGAACATAATTTTGAAAATGTAGAAAAGCATCCAGACATTTGAAATGCCAGCATGAAATCATGTATTAGGTTTGTAACTTCCATTGCTATTGGTAGGAATTGGGCACAAGATGGCAGTTAACCCATGTCCCAAGCTCCTGCAACCTAATTGGTTGGAAATGCAACATAAATCCCACCTGGTGGTGTAAGAACAAAGTTGGAGTTGAGAGACTGGTTGTTCAGTGTGTTTGGCTGTGGCCTTGGCTCCACTGTAATGTCCTTCCTCCGACTGGGAACGACTCCCATCACAGGCCACTGCCAACTGGTTGTTTTACACAGTAGTGGGTTTCTGGTACAGCTAAAAGAGAGATCTTTCAAAACAAAACACAAGAGATGATCAACATGAATTTCAAACTTGCTACCCACCTCTGAGCTTCTACCCCAGGAATGGGAAAACTTCAGCCCTCCAAGGTGTTTTGGAATTCAACTTCCACAATTCCTAACAGCTGGTTTACCATAAACAATTATGGATAGCACACTAGATCACACCTTGATCCACATAGATGTAGCAGAACAAATCCAGGTCTATGATAGGAATTAAGACTCTCCAAGGAGCAGAACACACCTGAGAAGCTTCTCTGTGAGCATGAAGTCGTCTTCAGTTGTTTAAATTTCTTGCTGTGAACACTTCCAGGTAGTAGGTTGCCCCTAAATCATATGCAAGTGCAAATATCAAAATCAAAAGTGTAAAATCCACTTGGTTCCTCTTGCCAGAAGTATTCTTGAACCTAACTACTAGAGTCAGAGACTCTGTGTGCATGCATATCCCTTTGAGTGCATGTTGTTGAGAAGTGCTTAAAAACTGAGAACCCACAAACTGATCAGTTTCCTTTGACGTAAGTGGAAAGGTGGTTAATGTCATAAGGTTTTTTTCTGCATAGAAAACAGATGCCAGGAACAGCTTGGACAAGACATGCTGCTCTGACAGCGATCTGCTTTTCACACAATACAGATTACATATAAGCCATAAAATGACCAATATTCAGCAGTGCACAGTAGTCTTGTGTGTGCATGAATGTGTGTATGTCCAAGTCACATGTTGACCTATGCCAAGTTGTTGCCAGAAGATTAGACATTCCAGGTAGACTACAACAAACATTATGTGTTTAAGAGATTTGAATCCATCTTATTCAAATTATGTAGAATGAGGGGTAGGTAGTGTATCCAGCTGAAGAAACTAAAAAACACATGGAAGTGTGTTTAAGACTTCCTCACAAGGGCTTATTTCTCAATAGATATCTGAGTCCAGATAAGGCAAATCGGAGACTGGGCAGAACAGCGGCATAGTGGGGCACCATACATCTTCTGCACTCCTCACAGTGTATTTGGCCACGGTGGTCCATGCTCTGGTTACATCCCAAATAGACTACTGCAACCCACTCTACGTAGTGTTTTCTTTGAAGACTGCCTGGAAGCTCCAACTAGTCCAACGATCGGCAGCCAGTTTGCTCATGGGAGCAGGATACAGGGAGTGCATAACTCCCTTTTTAAATCAGCTCCACTGGCTGCCATTAGCTTCTGAGCACAATTCAAAGTGCTGGTTTTAACCTACAAAACCCTACACAGTTACGGCCCAGTTTACCTGTCTGAACGTATCTTCTCCTATAAACCATCAAGGACTTCCGGAGAGGCCCTGCTCTTGGTACCACCACCTTCGCAGTTGCATTTGGTGGGGATGAGAGACAGAGCCTTCTCTGTGGTGGCCCCCTGGCTATGGAACTCTCTCCCCGGCGAGATTCGGTCTGCCCCCTCCCTCCTGTCCTTCAGGAAGCAGCTAAAATCCTGGCTTTGGAATCAGGCATTCGCAGATAGATGGATGACCTGGTATAGACTAAGAGTTATTTGACCACAACATCTGGATTGAGTTAGATGATGTTTTTAACTTGATGAATTGTCTTTTATATGTATTTTAGAACTTATTTATTGTGTATGTTGTTTTATGATGTTATTTATTGTATAGCATTGAATTTTTGCTGTTAGCCATTCTGAGTCCCCCCACGGAGGTAGAGAAGAATGGGATATAAACGTTCTAAATAAATAAATATAAATAAAGAAATGTCCCTTACTCTTAAAGCTGGGATTAAAATCCACTACTTCCTATGCAAATATATTGGATCTTACACCACCGTCTCTACTCTGTTCTCTAAGCTATCTAAGGGGTTACTAATGCAAGCATTATTGTCATTGGAAGCCTCCGTATTATGTCCCTCCTTGCCGCTTAGATCTTATCTCTCCAGGCAGCTTAAAATAGACCCAGTATCATCAACACCATCTCCAGCTGTACGGTACAGTATGCCTGTGTATGCACAATCGTTAACCTCAAAACCAAGCAAAGACCTCACAAAAACAGAAGCAAAAATGGGTGGAAAATTAAAAAAAAAACAACAGTGAAAATGAGACAACAGCAGCAACAATTTTTCTCTCCTTTTTACTGTCTCCCTAACTCAAGGAATAGATTTCAGAATCATCTGAGTCTAGGTATACTTGCTGTCGTAATGAGGTTTTATCCCACTGCTTTCAAATTATTTTCAGATGATGTGCAAAGATGATAAAAGGTTATAGTTTCATCAGTCCCATAGAAAGTGGTGGCATGACTGATGTAGGTTGTGTTTTTCCATGAGCACTTTTTGTTCAGTGTACTTGGACTTCCTGGTAAATCACTGAGAATGGGAACATTAAACGGGGAACACACTGTCACATCGTGGCCTACTGATAACTGCAAGGCAGAAAGAAACCGAGTCTCTATGAAGTCATAATGCCAGTGGCAAATCTTTTGTTGATGGTTTATTAAACTTTCTGAAAACACAGAATATGCTCTTGAGAGATTCAAGAAAAAAATATCTTATAGACCAGTGGTTCCCAACCAGTGGTTCATGGACCACAGGTGGTCTGCAAGAACCAGAAAAGTGCTCCATGGGGGTCTTTCCCAGAAAAACTGTGTTGGCGTAGTGTGGCTGTTGAGGAAGTGGCCCCACAGGTACAATTCCCCTCGCCCAAACACACACCCTTCTCCTGCTGGCCCTCCCCTTCTCCTTCATCCCAGAGCCCTGGCTCCTGTTAGCATTCGGGCTTAGTGTTCCTCTCTCCTGGCCCAGCCAAAGGGAAGCGAGAGTGCCCACATGCTTGCTTCCATTGCTTCCTCACAAGGAGCCAGTGATGATGGAGTTATCCCTGGCCCCCATCTTCACTTCCCGAGTGCGTCAACTGCCTCCTCTTCCTTGCAATCCAGTCCATGAATGGGGCTTCCTTCCTTGCCACAAGACCAGGTATGGAATTAAAAATACAACCCCCCTCCCTTTGCTCAATGTTGTTTTCTTCCTTCCCTGCTCTCGAGGAGGCTGCTGCTACCAGAGCCATGTTTGCAGTCTCCTTGCAACCCAGTCCCCTGCTATCTGGGCTTGCAAGGAAGGATCCGACATTGGGCAAAGGGAGGGGGGAAGAATGGAAGTGTTGGGTCCTTCCTTTCTTGCCTGGGCTTGAAACTGCTGTTGCCAGAGCCACATTTGCAGGACCAGGTGGCAGGGGGCTAGGTTACAAGGAGATTGCAAATGGGGCTCTGGCAGTAGTCTCCTCAAGCATAGGTAAAGAAGGGTCCAACACTGAGCAAAGGGAGGGAGCAGGAATATTGAATCCTTCATTCCTTACTTGCTTTTGAAGCAAGGAAGGAAGCCCTGGATTGCAAGGAGGAGGAGGAGGAGGCAAAGCCTGCAGTTCAATGAAGATGAGAGCAGAGGGAAGCTCCATCACTGGCTCCTCACAAGAAAGCAATGGAAAGGAAGCATGTGGACATGCTTCTGAGCCAGTGGAAGAGCTCTTGTGAGCCCATTCTCCCAGATCTTGGAGCCTAAGAACAGGAGCCTAACATTCGGGTTTCAGAAGCCAGTTTGGGAGTCTACTACTATCAAGATCAAGTCTACTATTACTCGATGCCATGACATGCGCATGGCATTGAGCAAGAGCATTGATCCAAGGATTCCCTACCTCTTGAAAGAAATTCAAACTAAAAAATCACATATTTTTTTCATGAAGTCTCATTATGGTGTTTTGTCTTTATATCACAAAATTAAAAATGTATATGTGAATGTTAATATGATGAAGACATTCTAGTTATTTTAAAACTTCTTAAATTTATTTTTATCCAGGTGGTGGGGTGAAGGGTTGATTGATCTCAATAGTCCACAATGTATCCAATTTTTGTCTCAGTGCTTCACGGTCTCTAAAAGGTTGGGATCCACTGCTATAGATGAATGTATACACTATCAACCATGAGCAAAATTGAAAACAATGAAGCACTAGGTTTCTAAAGATTTCTGCCCTCTACTTAGCTAGGAAGATCACCTCATAAAATAAAAGGCAATGAACAGAAGGAATAATTTCTCGTGCACTTCTTCTGTAGGCAATAATTGCAACAAGGAATAATAGTTTCTTATGCACTTCTTTTGTCGGCAGTACTTGCAATTTCAAGTGGTTTGGGAGAATCTCGGTCAGTTTATTCTGCCATCTGTCACTGCAACAGATGTAGTGGGTGGACTTAATAACTTAATAATGGGTTGTATTCACCCAAATTAAAAATGTGAACTAGTAAGTAGAAGTGGTTGAAAGGAGAGGGTTCAGATGTACATTGGGGGTATAGAAGAGCAGAAAATGTAAAGAAACTACTTGACAGTTAAAAAAAGTAAATCTACCAGTGATACTGGAAGAACTTTAGGCAGAGGCTGAAGGGACCTCTTCTTTGGCATGTACTATCCATGAATTGAATGTTGGACTGTGACTCTGGAGACCCAGGTTCACATCCCCATGCAGCTATGGAAGCCCACTGAATTATAGTATCCTGGGCAAGTCACACTCTCTCAACTTCAGAGGGAGGCAAAGGCAAGCCCCCTCTGAACAAGAAAACTCCATGATAGCATCACCATATGTTAGAAATGTGAGCCATCCGAGTCCCTTTTGGGAGAAGGTAGAAGGATATAAAGTTGTTGTTATTATTATTGGAAACCACTTGAAGACAACAATAATAGGATAGATTTCCTGCATCAAGGTGAAGATTTCCCCAAAACATCTGGGTGACCATTGTTAGAAAGATCTGTGTAATCCAATATTCTTTTTATAACTACTCCACTGTGGATCTTCTTTTGTCCTTTCCACAGATGTGGTAGAGAAGTGTAGATAAATGCTGAGCCTTTATCATTCTTTGCAGAGGGCAGCACAGGTATTCAATCTCATTCCAGGGAGAAGGGCAAAGTAACTTAAGCATTTGAAAAGAACCAACATCCAAAAGTAGAGAGAAAATTAAGCAGAAATGGTAGTAACAAAACATATATTAACAAGACACCTTGTTTATTTACAGAGGCACACACAGAAGTCTCAGAATCGATAAACAACCCTTCCTTAACCTGGTGATGTAGTTCAACCAGATTGGCAAGCATCATCATCGTCATCCACAGCTATTCTGGCTCAAGATGATGGCAGTTGTAGTTCAACACTGTTGTGTGTGCCACTTTGGAAAAACTATTCTGAACTACTCAGAATATGTAACAGCAGTTACAGATAAATGTCAAAAAAGCTATCACATTTGATTAACTTCTTTGCACCTGTCACCCATGTAGGTTTGACTTGAAACTGAAAGTATGAAGAAATCAGTAGACAGTACCAAGTTTTAAGTATCTATCAAACAGAATGCAACATCTTTCCCTTTGCCTCAAAAGTTAGATACAGGCTTGTAATTACTCAGCTCAGAACTGGTTACTTGTAGAGATGTAACTGTTGCTCAAAATTTTAAATAAGATTTATATGATGTGGCTATACATTTCATGTCTATTTGAATGTTTCTACATATCCCTATCTCCCTTCACGGCCCTAAAAAGCATGTCAAAGAAGCAAGACACCATTGTTTTTAACTTATTCCATATTTCAGAGAAGAAAGGGATGCTTCCTATGCAGTCCACCTATGTCATATTTAAGATAAGGGACACTTACTATTTTGTCTTATTTGATCATAAAGCATGGCCGTTTGGCTTTCTGAATGTGCACTTAAAAGACAAGTCAGAAGGGGAAGAAACACAGACACAGAGGCGCATTGACAATTAGACTTGATAATAGCTTTATTTACTTGGTACAAATTTCCCTTCAGGCAGAATCTCCCAGTCCCATTTCCTTCCTGAAATAAAGCTGAACATAATTTTCTCCAAGAACCTGGCCCCTTGAACAACATCGGAACTAAGCATTCTGCCATGATTCCATGTACCAGTCAGCTGCACATTCCCTCCTCTTAGGTTACATACTGTCCATATTCAAAGATCCAGATTAAAGCCACCCCCCCCCCCCCCCCCCCCCCCCCCCCAATAAACCCCTACATTTAGCCTAAGAATCTCCTAGATCCCAGGGCACAAATCCCCACTTCCACTAGAAACACTGGATCTGTCAGGCTTCTGAGTTAAGTATCGAAGAAAAATATTTTAAAAACTAGGCTTGAAAGCGAGCATATTTTTACACTATAAAGTACATGAAAGCATTGCCTTAGCCAGTATTTATGTAAGCTCACAAGCCCCATAAGATGCAAGCAGAACATAAGTTTTTTTTGTTTTTGTGCAGACATGCTTGTTTGGGGAAAGGCTACAAAACTGATAATTGACCATTCAGGTGCCCCAAAGATTCATTCATGATGAAATCTCAGCTGACCAGATCATTGTATTATTATTCCCCCAAATGGCAAAGATCATATTTCATAATTAGCTTTTGACCATTTGATTAAATAAGCAATATTTGTAAATCTCAGGCCCCTTCTAGAAAGGGTGATTCATTAAAGTTTTGATGACTTTCTGGAGGAAGGAGAGGCATACTTGTAGCAGCAGCAGTACAAGTGGACAGGGCAAATGTAAATACCAGTTTTGAACCCAGAACATTTGAAAAAAGAATCATAGAGATAGATCTATATAGACATTAACAGAATTACTATTACAATGGTAATGCATTAGTGTCAAGCTATTCTACCAAAACCAAAATAAGTATTTCCTCGTTTTGTATCTATCCACTCAAAATTATGAAAAAGACTCATACAGTAATTCTAGACACATTTACCTGGGAGTAAATCCCATTCAATTATGTGAGGCTTATTTCTGAGTAGACATACATGAGATTGTTCTAACCTCTTTATTACACAAACATTAGAATTTTTATTACAAAATACTGTGTGGCTATTTCACCCAAGATTGAAACATCTCAACTTTCCTTCAGTGATTCTGAATTCTATGCTACTGTTTGATACGAAACAGAGGTTAGATTCACTGCAACAATACATTAATTTTGAACTTTCAGTTTTAGCTTTATTTTCAAAGCAGTGACTAACAACTGTGTGCAAATAATCACACATATTAATTTAACTGAACAGTTGTATTAAGATAGTTGTATAAACATTTACTTGGTCTTAAGTTTTCTTCAGTTTGGAAGAGCACTGGTTTCTGCCTCCATGGAAAAGACCACCCTGAATATTGTCCAGATTGATCTCTAGCACTACTCAAACTAAACCTTTAGCTATTGTGGAGTGTGTAAATCAATGCTACTCTGTGCAACAGCACACCTTTCTGAGTTAGGGGTTTCCCTTCAGTCCACCCTTCTAATGCTACCTTGCAGCTGTTGGATTACTACATCCATAACTTCTGGCCAACACAACTGCACTATAATGAATGAGGACAGTGGGAGCTGGAATCCCAGGGATTCGGAGGAGATCAGGTAGGGGAAGGCTTCTTTAATCTACTGTCCAACTACGTTTTGCATGATAAATAAGACAGGAAATTTTGTTTCCTCAGCTCAGTTATAAAAGACCTAAACTATCTTGAAAGCTCAACTAACTATACAGCTTGCTTGGATCCATTCGAGAGTTTAGACAATGGAGAATTCAAGACCCACCTTGAAATTGAAAACATTTCCATTCTAGCCTAATAATCTTCAGCAGAAGCACAACTAGAAAGCAGTTTTAATTGCACAAGTCACAGAAACTGGTATTTGAAATTTTTAGAAAATTACTACTCTCACATGGTTTGACAGCACAAGGAAGCTAAGGGAAAGGATGACTGCCTTCATATACAACAGTTCTCTCCGCTAGTAGCACCAATGGAATGTTAGTAATTAAGGGGTTGCATACAGAGGTACAGATTTGCAGCAGTAAGCCCACAGCAGAATTGTGACACACAAACATATTCTCTTCTTTTTTACATAGGGGTGCAGGGAGCCTATTTTAATAATCTGAGGCAAAGCGGGTTTTCCACAAGCGTATCATTCATGAAGGTATTTCTCTCTTCTGAGGGACAAGTCAGAAACCCTTGCCTCTTTTGTTTTTTTATTAGTTTTGAAGAGTAATACACAAAGGAACAAAAAATATTTTCAGAAATACCAAAGGGTCCAAGCAGATAAAGATGAAGGTACAAGAAAGCAATAAGGGGAGGTATAAAAGCAAACTGGATAGCCTGCCTGAAGCCAGCGGAGCAGGGGGCCTGGGGAGAGCAGAGAGGCAACTGTTGATCCAGTGCATGTACCTGTGGTCAATAAAAGAGCAAAGGCCGCTGGGTAGGGGGTGCAGACCTCAGCCTGCAGCAAAACAACCCCCCTTGCCTGTTTTCAAGAATGTCTCTATGCATCTTGTGTTTATGCAGCCTATACAAAGAGAACCAAAGGTAATGCCAGAAAGACAGAAAGGGGGGGGGGGGACAGGTGGCAGGTAGGAGGGGCAGGCACAATTAGGAAGAAAAAGACCTGCTAATGCCACTTGTCTGGGTGAACACTGGATTCTGGGTGGGTTCAGAAGGAAAGAAAGGGATTGTCTGGATGCACAAGGTTGCTTAGCAGGAAACCTCCATTGTCTGAGGGGTGCCATGGGCACCAGCGGGTTCAGGCATGCCATGTTTTGCCTCTCCGTGGTTGCTGCTCTGAGACCGTGTATGGCTGCTTTCTCCAGAGCCCACGCTCGAAGATGACTGGGTCCGGGAACGGATCAGTCTGGTCATGCTAGCAGATGGCACTGTAAGGAGAGAGACAGTGAATTTCGGAATAAAAACCATTTTGTTCATTCTCACAATCAACAGGCATGAAGCAGAAGAAAAAGAGAGGTGCTGCTAAAAAAACAAATAAAAGAGATTGCTTTCTTGGTATTGTCACAAGAAGGGATGAACATAGTCTCATAGATGTGGAGGTATCTGTACAGGAGTGACAGCAAGTGGAGCTGAAGGAATAACACATCTCTCTTTCCCCTCTGCATAGACAACCCTCTTCCAAGTGTATTTCCCTACTCGGTTTGACTTTGTTTGCATCTCTTCGACATGCAAGGGGTTTCCTTCCCTCCACATTTGCTGTAGGAAAACCCAGGGCCAAGAGCTCTGTGTTTTCCTGAATGTGTCATCCACTTCCATATGTGAAAATAAAAGTGTATATGGTCAAATGGCCTGAAGTGCACAGCTGCCAAACTCTTTGCAATGAAGTCATGTTTCTCATTTAACTTTTTAAGAAAGTTAGAAATTACAAGCTTCACTTTTGGATTACTACTGAATTGCAAACCATGCAACGGTCAACCGAATGCAGATGAAGCTACTAACGAAATTGTGGTGCAAAAAAGTACAACGGGGTGGCCTAGATTGCAGAATGTTACCAGGCCATACCATAAGCAATGTGGCACATCAGAAAAGAAAAATGTAATTCAGCCAAACTAAACACACACTTGTAGATACCTGACTCAGTGCTCAGATGACTGAGCTGCACATAAGGGACTGGAAACAGAGACAAGAGAGGGAATGGGAAACACAGTTAGTGCAGTCATGACATGCCAGAAACAACATACGGCTGGGACCACTGAGTGTGAACCTCTAAACATTTGCTGCATTCATGATCCTAAGCCTTCAGGGCCCATTAATTTGTCAGGTGACTTTAAAACATAATTTTTAGTCTTTGGGTTTTAACAGGTCCACTTTTTCTGACCCCTAATTTCTATGTCAGAGAAAGTATATTACTAGGTTAACTGTACTACTTTGTTTGCAATCATAGCTTACATTATAGCAATTAACAGCTTTCTCTCTGCAATTCTGCCAGCATCAACACCTCTAAAACTGCAAGAAATCAAATGAATTCATATCTGTCCAGGAGAGGCAAATTTAAAAACTAAGGACTTTATATTGTCTGTTGATTATCACATGGTGTTGTAACATGGGATGGCTCAGGACAATGGTGCCTATATGATAATAAACAGATATGTCTCCCTACACTTTAGACATGGGTGGGCAACTGTGCAGGGGGGCCAGGACCAATTGTCCACCTGGCCCCCCTCCTGTTGGGCCACGCCTCCCAATGTGCATAATAATAACTCTCATTAAATGATGCCAAGAAATGAAAGGGAAACTATATATTTATTCATAAGAATGTATTTAAAAGAGGGCAGGTGATCTGGGACAGTGTGGGGTATTTAATGTGTTTGCATGCATTCAGGGGGGGATCCAGGTGCAATGTTATGGCATTGAGAGTTTGCCATCTTTTGTTGGAAACTGCCCTGTGTCCCCCGGGGAGATAGGGTGGGTGGGTTATAAATAAAGTTGTTGTTGTTGTTGTTGTTGTTGTTATTATTATTATTATTATTTCTGGGTGATTTCCCCCCAAAAGTAATGCCTTTAAAAAAAAAACAGAATGTAGAGTTCAGGTACCTTGAGGGGCTGCTTGTGGGGTCCAAGAACTACACTTCCCACTGATATCTATGAAAGATGCTAGATAGCAGTAGATACTAGATAGTGGTAGGCTGAGTGGCATCTGAATGGAAAGGAACTTCCGTTCTACCACTTTCCAAAAAAGACAGTATTGGCCTTACTTACTGTAGCCCATTCCTTGCACAAAGTACTTGAAGGCTTCAGTCAGTTTCCCAGGCTAGGAGGAAAAAAAAAAGAACTAAGTGTAGGTGGTGGCACATTTGTAACTATAAAATGTACAAGAACCAGGAGACAGTTAGAGCTCACCTGCACAACCTGTGGAAGTCCTCCACAATCTGCCATCTACAAGAGAAAACAATTTCAAACCAAGGTAAATGACATTCAGATTTTGAAAAAGCTAACTTACAAACCAACCCTAAAATTAGTCCATTTAGTGAAGGACTGCAGTGTTGCACAAACCATAACCTCTTTTCTCCCAGAACATATAGCTTTAGAACTGAACTTTTATCAGGGAAATATTGTTTCTAGTATGCTGAGACAGAAAGCCAACACAGGCATTGGTGAAGTAAGAGAAAAATGTAAAGCAGGCAGGAGTCGGAAGCAACTGAACAAATAAAACAACAAATGCAAGCTTATATGAACTCCCATTTCTGGAGTTGGTTTCCTGAAATGGGAAAAAAACCCCAAGGCTTGCAACTATGCATATTTCAAACTGCTGTGTACTAGGCTTGTGCATTTCATCTGAACCTCAAGCGGTTTTTGCCATCTGGATTTTGGGGGACCTGCATATATGTTTTTGCGTCCGCAGCCATATAATGCGGCTAGATCCCGCCTATTGGCAGCAGTGAGGGGGCTTCACAGGCTCCCCTTTCCTGTCATTTTTAGGACTATCAGGATGAAAATGGCCACACTTGGAGGACACATCTGCTACTGCTGGCCCACTAAGTTTCACCACTTTTGGGTCATCCCCTGATTTTTAGGAATTTATTTTCTTTCTAGAAATGAAATCTCCTTTAAAAATTCCCAAAAATGTATCCCACCGCTGGCCCTGCAGCAGGGCACCATTCTTTCCTACCAAATGCCAAAGATGCACTTCCACATCACACAACCTTGATTACACTTTCTTTACTAATTCAAAACAACAACAACTTCTTCCAAAGCTTTTGCATTTTTTTTCTCACAGTATTTTGGAAGAGGCCAGCAGCCCACCATCCATGTCCCCTTATTAGAAAAACACTCCTGGATGATCCACTGGGGGGGGGGGGGGGGAAATCAAAATGTATTGTGGGAAATCTAGCCATGCTTGTAAAAAACTATGTTTTTGAACATATTATTATCAAAATGAAATAAAGAAGGCAGAGAGCACAGAGAGAAATATAATAAAACATCTGAGAGAACTTGTGATGAGAATGCAAAGGAAATAAATTATTAGGTATCGGTGGTAAGTTTAGGTAGATAAGTAGGTAGGTAATTTTTCTGAGAACGAGGCTTTGATGTTTGTTGGAATTTCTATGATTATTAACAATAATGTTTTAAAAGTACTAATTTCTGAAGTAGAAGTGGGAGGAGAAATAAGAGAGGAAGCTAAAGGCTTTAATAGAGGCTAAAAGGTGACTCAAAGCTCAGTCACCCTAAGAGAAAAGCACACTCAGCCACAAGTCCCCAAACGTCACCCACCCACCCACATGCACATTCCAACTACCAGTCCCACTATATAAAGAATCAAGAAAATAAAGGGAAATAAAGGAAAATAAAAAAGATTCAATGCTAGAGAGAGAGACCAAGCCAAGTCAAAAGCTAAAGCTGAGAGCACATGGCAAGGCAATAGGACTGAAACACCTCTCTCTAGAGCCAGGATGCAACTGAGCGATGCAGCTTGCCCCATTAAATAGACAAAGCTTAGGTAAGACACACCACAACTTTCTTCTATTCTGATTGCCCTAACAGACAGGGCTCACACAGGGAAACCCCATGCGAGCACCCAGCAGGGATTCAATCCCTGGTCTCCAGAGTCATAATCCAATGCTCAAACCACTACACCACACTGGCTCTACTTCATAAACTGCAACAATAAACAGGGAAGGAGAATGCAAAGTTTTGAAAAGATAAACTACTATTTCCAGAGTCTTTCAGGAAAGGCAATATACTGGTGGGAGAAAGACAAAAGAAAAAATAACTCTCTTGATAATAACAAGCAATTGCTAGTCACAGAAATGGTTTGGTGGCCTGTCTGAAAATTTTATCTGCCTCTACATTAGAAAGAAACTATACAATACATAAAATACATACATTAAAATATATATAAAAATACATACTGCCTCTAATTTTCATTTACCTTCAAGAGTGTCGTATTCATTGGATCCAGCCGTGAATTACATTCAACCTAAAAAGGACACAGGATTATTTTAGATTTTCTCTATTATGCATGTAAATGTACAAGGTATAATTCAGAGTCCACATCAAGAATCCAGTGGGTATAGCAAAAAACTGTGTATGTTTGTAAAAACGCAAGGGAATAAGAAATATAAATGCAGAAAATTTTGTGAATAACCTGTACAGATCCCATTCATTAATAATGACAAAATTCCTATTCTAGCTATGATATAGGCAGGATTTAAAAGTTTTCTTGAGCATCTTATTAAGCAAAGCAAAATTGCTTCTCTGACAGATTGCAAGATTATATGAAGCAGAAAACATTCAGTTAAAGGATGAACACACTCACAGGCTCAATATTATAGTTTATGTTCACATTAAAGCTTGTTTATATGGTATTGTATAAACATTCCCTCTCAGCCTTGAAGTTAAATAGTTAAATCACTATTTTACAACCTTATCTACTTCACAGGGTTCCTGCAAGGTTATATTAAAAGAATTCAATGTACACCACCCTGAGCTCCTTGAAGCAACAAAAGTATATGAATGTAATAAAAATCTTCAGCATAATCTTCAGGAAATATAACAGGTACAGCACATGCTGTACAAGTTACTGAATATGCAGGGCTGACCCTGAAAGTGGAAAAGGGGATTTCATTCATTTTAATGCTTTATCTGAATGTTTAAATTTTGTTTATGTCTTATGTTTAATGGTTTTAATTATTTTAATTCAAAGTTACATGTAGTAATTAGCTATTATGATATCTTTGTGTTACTGTATGTTGGCATTGAATTTTTGCCATTAATATGTTGTAATCCGCCTTGAGTCCCCCCAGGGGTGAGAAAGGCAGTATATAAATATAGTAAATAAATAAATAAATTGCTAATTATAGCAGCAAGCGAAACCATATTAGTGATAATGTATTTGATCTGGAAACAAACAACAGAGAATATGAGAGACAGAGAAGGAGAGGGAGAGGTCAGAGTAAAAAGGGTCATCCAAATCTCTCAGAGCTGTGGGCTCTTGCCTACTTGCACTGTAGGAAGAGCAGAAGAAAATGGATAGAGAAAAGGGGAAATCACTTCACATACATTGGCTACATGGCTCTGTTACCATCTAATCCACATCCTAACCTCTTGGATAATCAATTACAATTAAAATTTTATCCTCATTTACGGTTGAGGAGCATATCTCCTACTTGATAAGTATGACTTCAAGTGGAAATGTACGGAGTTGTTTTCATTGACATTTCACAGCATGCAACAAAAAGCAAAATGTATGTAACAGAGTACAGAGAACAATAACCTGGTACACTTACCACAGCTTCAACAGCAGGTGAGCTGTCTCCAACCACTAATAAGACAGGGCACCTATACAAAAGACACAAGATACACATTGTAGTCTGCACACTCAATAGTGACTCCATATTCTTTTATCATTATTGCTGCTCAGTTTGAATCTTAAGAACACAATTGTTTTACCAGTAATTAAGGCTGCACAGCATTGCAATAAAGCAATTCTAAACCAAGCTCATGGACACATATGGTTATCCATCAAGGTCTTAATTTATTTCAGTGAGGACTTAAATCCTATATTTGTTTGTCTCATCTGACCCAATACTCTACCACAAGCCACATGACTATCTACAAGGTCTTCAAATATTTCATCATGCTGTAGCACTGTATTAGAGCACCACTATGTGATAGCAGCCTACATTCAAAGATATGCATGATTAGGGTTGAAGATGATGGGGAACACATTCACATTTTGTTCATGTGTACAAATCTCTCTGAGGGAGGAATTAGAGAACTATTTGTTCATGTTTTAGGACAGAGGCCTTCATTCTTTCTTTCATGGAAGGTTTGTGACACTGAACACCCATCTTCCAGTAGCAATTCTTCCACCTTTTAAAAGTTTATTTTCAAAAATTATGCAAGGGGATTGTGTGCAAATGTCCAAGGGAGGCATCTTATAAAAATAAAGGTAACTGATTTGCCTAAAGAGTGTGGAGAATAGGAAGGTGGATGCAAGACTCAATTGCTGTTTGATATGATATGATACAGGCTTATCAAAGACGGATGACATCAATAGTTCCAGGTATGGGATTCCTGGGAAGCCTGTAAAAATAAGGTATTCTAAATCTACAAAAGGAATTCCTCACAGTTTCCAGAAAGAACCCAACATTTAACTTACTTGAGTGTTTTTGCTGCCTCTCCATTCACACCCAGGACTGGCCTCTCAATGTCCAGGTCTCTGCGGCTAGGAGACAAATACAGAAGTGTGGTCAAACACTGGGAAGAACGTAGCTGGAAAACACACTTCTGGAGTTAGCATGCACACAAAGTATACAGCTCCATGGCTACTGGGTTTGAATTAATTTTTTTAAATTGACCGAGACAAATTAGATGTCTCCAAGTTTTGCTCTTATCAACATCTTTAGAGCCAACAGCTCAATAAAAGAACACAAATGTGGGATTTGACAAGTAATCAGTTCAGAGAATCCAGAAATCTGCTTTATGAAGTCAAGTGTGAGATAGGGCATAATGTATAGTAGTTTCTAGTTTTAAGAAAGCTGTGTCTGCGCACATGTACTTTTGTGGGTGAGTCATCTCTCTCTCTTTCTCTTAAAAAAAGAAGCTAAAAGTAAATCTGTTTATGAATCTCCTGCGTTACCCTCACTTTTGTCCTAACATCCTTGGATTGATATACAATTTCTTCCTGACTGTCCCTTCCTCAGTAGTGAATGCTAAGCCTAAGAGCTGGCGCTATCCACAGACACCTCCAAGATCATGTGACCAGCATGACTAAATTAAGCACCGTTAGCTTCCTGCCAGAGCGGTACCTACTACTAACATTTGGATGTTTCAAACTGCTAGGTTGGCAGAAGCTGGGGTTAACAGCAGGAGCTCACCCTGCTCCCCGGATGTGAACTGTGAACTGTCAACCTTACAGTCAGGAAGTTCAGTAGCTCAGTGGCTTAACCAGGGGGCTACTGTAACTACTACTTCAAAAAACTGAAAATGGGAAAATAATTAATCACAGGAGATGTTGATGAAACAAGTGAAAGGTCTGTCAAAAAGAACAACAGCAGTGGATCACAGGACAATAGATAGTAAAATTCTCTAAAGTGTCTTATACAAGAGAAGTTTTTTAGAAGTATATCTTAAATGATATTTTATGGCACATTGATCTCTTTCAACATTTCTTACCATCTACTGCTGGATCACTAGTTAAACTTTCAAAGCTGGGGACTGGGGAAAGCAAACAGGTTTCTAGACCAAACAAATGCAATTATGTACCTGTTATAGGCAGTGACAAAGAGCTGAAGATTTTCCTGATTGATGTCTTGTGCAATATGAAGTCTGTATGTCTGAATCAGGTCCAGATTAGCTTGCAGTTCTTCCTGGAGTAGAAAAACAAATACTCTAATCAGCTGCCTCGCTAAACCATGCTATTTTGAAAACAATTTAACAGACATTGTAGAGAAAAAGGCAATGAACTCCTGAGTCTCTGGCAGGCCACACTATAGATACAATGAGACTTCATAACTTTAAGTTATAAAAGCAGAGTTGGATGGAGTTTGTACAAAATGTTTGATGTGAAGAGAGAAGATCACTTGAAAATGTAGCTGCAACCTGTTCACACATAAATAGAATATCCTCTTGCTGGAATCTTTAACAGTATTTGAACATTATAGAAGATTCAGAGAGGAATAATGGCAACCTACTTCTTCTACACAACTCATCCATAAAAACTAAGAAAGGGACGATCTTGCAAACGGCGGAAGGCATGATCAACAGTAATTCATTGATATATTTCAGATTCTTTGCATTCATTAATTAGCATTTTCAGCATTAGATTTTGCAATGGACTTACATGACCAAAATGGTGTGCCAGAACAATGTCCACAATGTTGGATGTCCATCCTGAAAACTGAAAATAAAACCCTCCATTTCAGGTATTTACATTTACACAGATGGAAACTAAAACCTAAAAGGTAACACAATGAAACCCATGTGACATCTCTAAGTGTAAAAATGTATTGCAGCATGAGTTTTTTATGCTCATACTATATAAACATAACACAATGTTGCAACACATACCTGTGTTATTGTAGGTTTTTCAGGTTGTGTGGTCATTTTCTAGAACAGGGGTCCTCAAACTTTTTAAACAGAGGGCTAGGTCACAGTCCCTCAAACTGTTGGAGGGCTGGATTATAATTTGAAAAAAAATATGAATGAATTCCTATGCACACTGCACATATCTTATTTGTAGTGCAAAAAATATAATGAAAAATTAATGAAAATGAAGAATAATTTTTAACAAATATAAGCTTATTAGGATTTCAATGGGAAGTGTGGGCCTGCTTTTGGATGAAGAGATAGCATTATTGTTGTGTGTTTTCAAGTTGTTTCAGATTTAGGTTGACCCTGAGCGAGGGCCAGGTAAATTACCTTGGAGGGCCGTATCCGGCCCCCAGGCAGTAGTTTGAGGACCCCTGTTCTAGAACATGGCCATACAACCCGAAAAACCTACAACAACCCAGTGATTCCGGCCATGAAAACCTTTGACAATATATATATATATATATATATATATATATATATATATATATGTGTGTGTGTGTGTGTGTGTGTGTGTGTGTGTGTGTGTGTGTTAGTTTATAGCAAAAATAAATATATCAAAATACTTAATTAGCATCTGATGAAGCAGATAATCTATGGAAGTTTATGCTTCAAACCTCTTTCTCGCAGTCTCAAAGGTGTTACAACATTCCTTTGCATCTACAATATAATTATATAGCTACAATTATATAATAGATACGCTCCAATCATGTTACATATATTATATTTAATATGAAGCAAAGCATAGTGAAGTAAACCCCTGACAATCTTGAAAACACTACTTAGCAGTAGTGCTTACAAGTTTAGTAAGCTTAGGGAGCAGATAATTCTTAATTCACTTAATGCAGGAAATTCAATTGCCTGTATTTGATGGGAGGGCTGACTAATCTCAACATGTTGTTCTTTTATTATCTTATTCATAAAATCTACACATGATCACTCAGTCTTCTACTGTTCTTCATTTTGCCTTTAAGAATGGGTCATAAATTGCAACAATATGCTCATATACATTGTGACAATTTATGGCTCATGGATGAATATCTCATTATTTCATTCGACATGTTGCATCTATGTGTACTGCCATTTTGGAAAGCGTATGTTTTGCTTTACTGTCAGCTTATGGATAGGGATCTTTAGTTACACTGTAAGAAATCAAAATGCATTTTAGCATACAAAGTGCATTCTTAACAGTTGCCATTGGTTTCTGTTGGAGGGAAGCAAAGATAAGAATGCAATGCACTAACCAAAAGGTGTTGTTTTACAGAACTTCAAAATATTTCACACAAAATATTTTGAAGTAGTGCTATAATATAGATGAATTTTCATTTGAGTAATGGAAGAGTCACTCTCATCCTACCTTAGATGCTGCCCAGTCAATCCAACCTTTTGCACATGGGTCGATGTTAATAAGCACCAAGCCTTCAACTAAGTCAGGGTGGTTTAACTAAAAACAAAAGGGAAACATGTCGTATATTACAAACTATTAAAAGATGGCCAGATTTTTCTAAATACGTTATTTTAAAAGGTAAATTAGTAGAATTCACTAGTATAAGATTACAGTAATTATAAAATGGCCAAAAACAAGCCAGTGTATTTGGCTTTTGGCTGAGACAAGTTCCTTAATGTTGCTTGGTAGACAGAATAACAATGGCAGATCAACAAACATATTTGGTACTTAATTAATTAATTAATTAACTATATTTGTATACTGCTCTTCTTAGCCCTCGGGCAACTCAGAGCAGTTAACAATAGCAAAATTAAATGCTCAAAACATCATAAAACCGTTAAAAACAATTAAAACAGTAGCATAATAAAGTCAATATAAATCAATAAAACATCTCATTAGAGTCTCATAGTTAAAATCAAGATCCAGTCTCATCATCCAATTGTTCCATATTCTTATGTTCATTACACTGCCTATTCAAATGCCTGCTCGAACAACCAGGTCTTCACTTTCCTCTGAAATGTTAACAGGGAAGGGGCCAATCTAATATCTGTAGGAAGGGCGTTCCACAGCCGAGGGGCCACCACTGAGAAGACCCTGTCTCTCGTCTCCGCCAAACGTACTTGTGACGCAGGCGGGACCGAGAGAAGGGCCTCCTCAGACAGTCTTAACACCCTAGTTGGTTCATAGGAGAAGATGTGTTCGGACAGGTAAGTTGGGCCAGAACTGTTTAGGCTTTATAGGCAAAAGCCAGCACTTTGAATTGTGCCCAGTAGCAATGAATATGCTAATTTCAACAGAGTGCATTCACTCCCAGAAATGGGAACCACAAAGATCTAATTCTATTAAATATACCTGTAACCAATGTCTAATGACATTCTTTCTTGTTGGGGTATTTATCACTATTGCACTCCTCTGTTTTGTGAGGCCTATTACACAGAAGGACTTTATTTGTTAGAACAAAGGCAAACACTACTTACAGCAAACCTGCTAAGGATATAAGCACCAGCTCCAACTCCAATACCAATTATACTTTTCAGGCTGAAAGATAAAAGGTTCAGAATGAAAACATCTTACAGTGCTATTCTCATATACCAACCCATATGGCAGTTCCCTTCTAACAAATAGAACACAACATGTTTTGTGGTAAAGACCAAAAGATTAAAAGGAATCTAATCATAACCGGCCAATCACACTTCCTTCTGGGCAAGAACCAGCAGAAAGATGTCTAGAACTGGTAGCAAATAATTTAGGAGAACCCTGGATCACTCAGCATACTTACCTGAGGTGTGTAAGAACAGCGGGAAGCATTTCAGCAAGTTCATCAATGGTGGGATACTGGTACCTGAAAGCATAAGCAAGAAATGTTAGTTAAAACTGCGGCTGCCAGGAGCTAACATACACAAACCCTAATGCAAAAGCTGAATATTTTATTCCAAGGTCAAATAATCACAAAGATGCTTGCCATAGATGCAGGCGAAACGTCAGGAGAAATGCCTCTAGAACATGGCTCTATAGCCCGAAAAAACCCACAAGAACCTAATCACAAAGATGTCAGCAAAATCATAACCATGAATGTATATATTTATATTATTTTATTTTATTTATCTTCCAGCATGATAGCCAATTCATTATGGCGGGCCTTAGTATCTGCTGGGGTTTGATTCCAAGCCCCTCTGTAGATGTCAAAATCCATGGATGCCCAAGTCCCATTATATACAATAGTGTAGTAAAATGTTGTCCCTTGTGTAAAATAGGAAAATCAAGATTTGATTTTTGGAGATATATATATATTCAAATCATGGGTGGTTGAATCTGTGGATACAGAATCTGTGGATATGGAGGACTGACTGTATTTTGGCAAAAAAGTAGGTACTTGTACAACAGAAAGCATACAATTTACAGGCTTAAAGTGGCTCACAAAAGATTTGTGCTGTGCAATAATAACAACGTGTGCCTATTTGCATTCGCATCTCTCCTAGGTCATTAGAGACTTTCTGCAGAGGCAGATATGGCAAGAATTGCCTTTTCTAAATCACAGCAGAATTCTGAGACTGAGGAATCAGGCATAATTCTTATAACTTCCAGACCATATCACGCCATGTTTACAATGAATGTCATTCCTATTCAAACAGTCCGTATTTTTTACGAGCAGAGGGATGTGTGCGTATGTGGCCCCGATTGAACTGTCAACTGATGATAACCCCATAAACTTCATAGGCAAGGAATAGTTAATGCTGGTTTGCCAGTTCCTTTCTCTAAATTGTGGTCTACAAGCTCTTAGTATCCAAGTACAAACCAAGGCTGACTCTGCTTAGCTTCCAAAACCATAGATTGTAAGGTTGTAACCTTGAAGACAAGGAAGTGTGGGATGTTCTTTAACGAAGTGTCATGTACAGTTATGGTGCTATATAATGATGTTAACAATAACGATAATAATAATACCACCTGACAGGATCTGTTATCTGTGGGGCATTTCAGCTCACCAGAGGGATAAACTATACATACCCAGAAGGGAAAGGGGGAGCTCCCTCTTGTTGTCCTGGTGCATCAACATGGCATACAGCAAAGTGTTGAGTGATTTCTTGCATATCTTCAAAGTTAAAGAAAGCATTGAAACAGGATTTATCTGTAAGAAAAATGCTGAGTATGACCAATTGATCCATTCCAGCACCTGAACATTAATTCCCATAGCTAAGAGAGCAATTTGTTTGTTTTAACCTGTATTTTGTTATTGATAGCTGCCTTATACATCTATTCAATGCAAAAATGGGGGAACTGAATAAACAAACACACATAAAAACACATAGATTTAAGCAGTCAGGAAAACTTACGGTTGAGGCCAATATCATGGTATGTGAGGATGACAGGCCTATTTCCCTTTGATGTGCCCCGCATAGTGACATGAACAACTCCACAAGCTGTCTCAATATCATGTTCCTGGAAAAGGCAAAGGCAACCTGACAGTTAGAGGAAACAATTCTTGAAGGGCAGCAATCACTCACTACTAGCAGATGTATTACTTAACAAGCAATTGGAGAAGCATTAATTAACAGACATGGCAAATGAAGGATGACTATCTAAAAACTATAAAAAATTAAGGGAGAGAATTACACATGGAAGGTATCTGAGCAGGAAAAAACACAGCATTGAATTATATATCATTGACACACAAATACGTCTTTTTACAGAGACCTTGGTCTTTAAGAAAACCCATTACCAATATCTTAATGAATGAGAAAACCCTATATATAGTGTTTAGTTATCTTAAATGGGTCACTTTTGGGTGGAGATGAGGAAGGAGGGAGCAGCTTACATCTGGAGGTGTGGCTTGTAAATAAGTTGTGACTCTTGGTACTGGAAATTGCCATTTTGCCATACAGACCAAAAACACAAATCAAAAACAGCAGTGGACAAAAGCAGTCTTCCATTTTCCCTTTTTTTAATCTGATAGTGATCAAATTAAAAGGTAAAGGTAAAGGTTTCCCCTGACATTAAGTCTAGTCGTGTCTGAATCTGGGGGTGGTGCTCATCTCCATTTCTAAACCTAAGAGCTGGCATTGTCCATAGACACCTCCAAGGTCATGTGGCCAGCATGACTGCATGGAGTGCCATTACCTTCCCAGAGAAGCAATACCTTTTCATCTACTCACATTTGCACGTTTTCAAACTGCTAGGTTGGCAGAAACTGGGGCTAGCTGCAGGATCTCACCCCTGCTCTCCAGATTCAAACTGCCGACCTTTCAGTCAGCAAGTTCAGCAGCTCAGCAATGTAACCTGCTGTGCCACCAGGGAGCCCTAAATCAAATTAATATACGCAATTGTATGACCAATCTGGAAAATGGAACAGTATGATTAATGGTTATTTTTAACATTAAAGAAAAATAAGAAAGTTTTCAAGCTTCCTAGAATACTTCCTCAAAATCTTTATTAAGGGGAGTGAATGCTAGATGGAGGAAATGTTACTGCTGGTGTGGGACATAGTAGAATCTCTCTGTCTGCAGTTCAGACAGCAGTTCAGAAAGCTACAGACAGCGTATCCTGTGCAAGAGACCTCAGGGTACAACAAAGCAATCAGAGGGAAAAGCAACAATGGGGAGTTTGAAACATAGTCTTAAGAAATGGCTGGCTTCTATCCCCAGCCTGTAATCTGTTACTGTAATCTTTAGCATAAAATTGTCTTAAACAAAACAGATACTGTATGTCTCTTTGATAAGGAAGATGATAGCTCCTTTACTATAAATACTGGTGCAGAACAGATTGTGTTTGTTTGACTGGTTATCACTATATTTATGAAATCTATAGTTTGAACAGAGAAGCAATATTGTGATTCCAAGTTATAATGCAGTGTTCTTTCATGGCTACATTCATATCTTGCTGATTTAGTGAAAAACATTTCTGTGTAACAGATTAATGCACAAAGCCTGCTCTTCCCTCCAACAGCCATCTGGCCAGAATCTCTCAGCTACTGAGTGACTGCTATCAGCGATCATAGGGATAAATGTGCCAAACAAGTACCTCTGCAGGAGTCTACTGTATACCATGCAGCTGTGGACAAGTCTACATAGGGACCACCAAACACAGTGCCCAAACACGAATTCAGGAACATGAAAGGCACTGCAGACTACTTCAACCACAGAAGTCAGCCATAGAAGAGCACCTGATGAACCAACCTGGACACAACATATTATTTGAGAACACAGAAATGCTGGATCATTCTAACAACTACCATGTCAGGCTACACAGAAAAGCCATTGAAATCCACGAGCATGTGGAGAATTTCAACATAAAGGAAGAAACCATGAAAATGAACAAAATCTGGCTATCAGTATAAAAAAAAACTCTAAACTTATAACAGTAAATAAAGAACAAAACTCAAATACAGGGGAATTCCAGACAAGAAACTATCAGGAACAGCTAATCACCTCTCAACAAAGGATTCTCCCAGGTAGTAACAAGCCACACCTAAAAACTGCCAGGCCATCAAATGCTAATCAAGATGGCCAACTGAAACATTCACACCTGGCTCCAACAGACAAGAGTTCTTTCTCCCACCCTGGACAGATCTATAAACCCACTTCTCCTAGTTTCCAACAGACCTCACAACCTCTGAGGATGCCTGCCACAGATGCAGGCAAAACGTTAGGAGAGAATGCTTCTAGAACATGGCCATACAGCCTGAAAAAACCTACAACAACCCAGTGATTCCGGCCATGAAAGCCTTCGAAAATACAAGTACCGTATATATCAAGATACATTGCTGGGAGGGTAAGACAACCAATAATGACCAAAGTAGGAAAGGACAATGACAATGCTAAATGGTTTACGGACTGGATTTGGTGAACACTGACCACAAGATGTTTTACTGCTGCTAGTATATTGTTGATTGTTTTAATTAGTGATAACTGTGATTTTATATGGTAAATTGTATGTTGTAATTGTTAGGCATCGAATTGTGTCTTTTGTAAGCCGCCCTGAGTCCCCCCTAGGGGGTTGAGAAGGGCGGGGTATAAGCACCCCAAATAAATAAATAAATAAATAATAAATATTTTGGCCTCACTTGTGCACACTGTGCTTCTCTGTGCAGCAGCAGATTCAGGGACATTAAGGAGAGATTGTGCACCAGAATACCACTGGTATGAGCAGACAGATGCCTTGGCTTTTACCAAGAGTTGAGTATGTGCTTCTGAAGCTAAGTGCACAGGACAGAATTTGTAATCTTTTGGTATACTGTCCACCATGCTGCCCAACAGTTCTCTTATACTAGGCCCAGACTTTCTATTATGACAGACACTGGTTGATCAAAATGCCTTCCTTTGGGACAAAGCCAGAGAAAATTTCGGTGCTAGAAAGGAATAAATTAAACAATAGCATGATATCTTTATCTGTGGGACCAGTAGCCATGGTTTCATTTACTCTGAAAAATAACTATCTTCTCTAGGGATCTCCTAGGTCTTCCTGCACAACTCTATGGTATGCTTTCACCAGAAGGTGACAAGAGAGTTGCACTAGAGGGTGTCGTGATGCCAAGAGAGGTATTATTGGCATTTCTAAAGTCCCATTATATGCTTCTGCCAGAAGTAGTTCATATAGTAGAGTTCCATATTATTTGCAATTTTCACTAACTACGGGGGGCCCTGGAACATATCCCCCACAAAGGTCATACTGTATTATATCGATAATGATAGTGATGATGATGATGATGATAATAGCATTGCATAATGTGCTTGGTTATTTATTTGTTTTTAATGGTGTGTTTTTAGTTTTATGGCAGTAATATTGAATTTATAATTTTTATATATACTGTTAATTTCTGACTTTTTGTTTTAAATCACCCGGAATCCAAATGGTGAAAAGGACGGGATATAAATAAATATCAACACAATATGATCTTCCATACCTACAGATCTTAGTTTTAGTACAAGTTGGTACTAGCGCAGCTATATAATAAACACTATGCAGAGTTAACTGTGCTTGGTCATGAAATTAGCTCATGTTGTTTGTATTGTAGATAGCCACAACAATGGCGACCACATCATATTCAGAACCTCACTGGCTGGCTTCATGTTGCCTTATACAATGAAGTCCCTATTTAAACAGATTCATGATTTGTGCAGCTCATCCTATGATAGTAATGATTCACGAAATACATAGCTATCACGCTCAGTGCTTTCCCTGGAGGCCTTTTTTTGACTTAAATGAATGAGGCGGAAGACAAAGAGCAGCTGTGGCTATTGCCATAGGGACACTGTACATATAGTTCACTGTATAGCTGTTTTAACATGGGATTTGAGATAACTGGATACAAGGATTTTTTCTTTACGGGATGTGTATAATGTATTTTGTTATTGTTATATCTTTAACTGACTTCAGACTTTTAAAAATCAATGATATTATAATAGGATACTTGTTTATTTGTGCTCTTTTTATTGTCACGTTTTAGCTCTTTTTTAAACCTTGTTGTCAGTCACTTTGGATCTTATGTTGGAAAAAATGGAAGGATATAAATAAACTTTTGATTTGTTTCCTAGTATCTGAGAAGTGCAGCTAAACAATACAGAAACAGTATGCATTTCCTGGAAAATGAAATCTAAAGAACTCCGAGGGGGGGGGGGGGGATAAAAGAAATGTATATACTTAAATAAATGAAAATTCACTGCCTCTACAAACATAGTTTACAAAGTTTCATTCAATTAAAGTAAATTATTGCAAACTCAAATTATTTAAATAAATGCACAATATACAACAGGCTAACATCTTTATAAGTTCTGACATGTACTTGTCATTGAAATACACCAGAGCAGATTAAATAGCGTTTCCCAAAAACACAGTGTTTGTGCTGATGTCACCAAAATATTTATGACAAATATGTTAACAGGAACTTAATCAGATTGGGACTGTATTTAAAACAGCAGATGGCACCAAACTCCCTTTTAACGCCTCCCTCTCCTTCTCTGTCTGGGAGACAAAAAACCTGCCCTAGAAGATTCATTAGGTGAATATGGTGTGAAGTCTGATTGTATTTTCAAGATCAGCCTGCCTTCGATGCCTCACATGCCTGCCACGTGAGGCCAGCGAGAGGCACCTCTGACGTCTGTAACAGATGACTGTGTTTCTTTCACACCCAAAGGATAATCAAAGGGGTGCTTGCTTACACAGAGGAAGATGGAAGAAGTTCAGTTTTCTGTAGGAACTGATATGACTTACAGATTGCCACATTTATATAACTTTTAAAAAAGATTTAATTAAGGAAGTTTTAAAAAGATCAACAAGCATACCAAATAACTGAAATACTGATATTTCTATCTGGAAATATACTAGACCAAGCTTGAAATGGTGTGAGAAAAATACAAGGGGATTAAATGAGAGAATTCAAATGGTAGGCATTCTATCTTGACAACGCAGAAAACCTACAAACTTCCATCCTTCTATAGTAAAGA